CAAAATCGGTCTTGGACATTCACTTTGTAAGACCAAGATCCAGACTGGTAAAAAACGTCTGCCAGTATAGCTTCCTCATCGTTTTCATTTGCTAAAAAATATCTATGTTAAATGGTCTAAAGAAGCCGCTTTCGGAAATTCAATAATCCCTCAATAAATACGGGCTTGATATCCACGAGTTTTATTTATCAGCAAATACTAAAATGCGAAAAAGTTTCGCATTTGCAGATTGCACATCTGATGTTTCGTAACTAAAAAGAAAAAAAAAATCCAGTGCATACTGAATATGTATCTCGCTACTGTTAGTGCAAATGACGTATATAAAAATTGGGTGTTTTACAGAAGAACAAAAAAAAAAATTATTTATTTATGATTTAATAGTATAATTTTATATTTTATTGCCTTCTGGTATTTTTCATAATAGTAGACTACTTATATCAATTGCAGACTACACAATGTCAAAAATAGAATAAAAATTGAAAACTTTTACATACGACCTTTTTCACTAACAGTAGTGATATATACTTAATATCACTCGTAAAATTTTCGTTTTCACTCGTAAAATGGCTGGAACAAAAAATCTATAGGAAAAATTCAACTTTTTATTTATTCGGAGTTAACCTGACTAATACTTTTCTTCAGTCAGAACAAACCTAATTAAGGTGGAATATAAAAATATGAGTGAAGTTGACACAATTTTGATATTTAAGGAGAAAATCGAGACCATGAAGAGTTGGTTGAACTTCAATGGAAATAAACACAATCATCAGTAAGACTTTTTTTTACGAATTCAGAGTAAAAATTACTTTAAATTTAACGAAATCTATGTAACAGCAATAAGTGTCATGCCAGTAACGTTTAAAATCGACCAAACAATACAATATAAATTAAATTTTTGAATAAAACCTAAAACTTTATAACCTCATAACAATATTGTAATATTCTAGCTTCCACTCCATATGATCAGTGCCTTCCACATTTCACAGTCATTATATTTTTAAAAATTATTTATATTAATTTTAATTATTAAATGAAATTGATACTATGTAATTTGTATACTGTTGTCCAAATTTCCTCCAAGATTGGGTCACATCGAATGCGCCATTTTCAAACTATAGGCATATCAAAAAATAACACATTTCCTGATCTGAAAGCGGAAGTTTTTTTTTTTTAGTATTAGATAGTATTTGAGAAAATTGATGTCTATTCCGTTTTAAATTAACCAATCCCTAACTTCCCTCCAAATTTGAGCCAAATCGAACGGGTGGTTTTAGAGATATAGACGTATCAAGGAAAACATGTTTGCTCATATATAAGAGAAAGCAATGGGCAGAATTCAATCAAATTGACCCTATATTATTTTTTTACAAATACCTACCTTTTACCTAACTTTGAGCCAAATTGAGAAAGCCGTTTCTGAAATATTGGCATATCTACAAAAATGCATTTACGCGTGCATAAGCAGAAGTGCTGGTTAGAATTTAATAAAATTGATATGGGATCATCTAGACACCAACCCGCACTACCCCTGACAATTTCATGAAAATCAGATAAACTGTCCCTTACATCGATTTGACTACTGACAGACAGACAGACACCGAACAAAATTTGATCCTAGATGTCTTAAACGTAAAACGCAAGTGGAAATTTTCGATTCTGATCACAAACATTTTTTTAACCTCTCACACGTATATAATTCTTCCCTACCTGCGGTAGTGAGGACGCAAAAAAATATTGATTTTTTTATTAAAAGTTAAGACAAAATAATTATTAATACTTGATAATTTTAGTTACTATGTGTAAAGAATACGTATAATCAATATACTTTTGAATTTAATTATTCTAATTTTTCATTCGGCCAGACCAAGACCATGACAGAGTCCGCAAGACCAAGACTTGCCTTGGACTCGCATATGGGCAACTCTAGATGTTAAATCTGTTGCGGTGGTGATAAAAAGGTCAGGAGCAACCAAATATTTGTATTCTATTTATTCACGCAGTGTATAGTTTGAAGCTATCTCTCTCGACTTCCTTCGGCGAGAAGACCTCTTCCGTCACTAAAATAATAGGAATGGCTTGACGGATTTACCAGCAAATATAGGAAAGAGGATCAGTGAAGACCCCAGAAGAAGGAAGATGGTCCTCCAGGAGGATACATTAAAATAATGGAACCAGTGGTGGATGAGGACCCTAAATGGGGCTTCACTGAGGAAGGATTGGAAGGTCTTTCTAAATCCATGAGGAACACAGGCCTCGACACTCTGACGGAGAGCGAATTCCTTCAGCTAATGACTTAACCGAACTACTCGCATTTTAAGAAGTCTGTGAAAGCAAGTTGTATGCCTACTCCAATGCTCTCCTTCGGTAGGAGAAGAGATTCTTAACCAAGAAGGTCGTCGAACAAAAAAGGAGAAAAATTAAAACTGAAGAACGAATAGCAACAGGCTGTGTGGCGCAGCTATTTATCATTATGTAAACATGTTAACTTGCGGTAGGTGTGGGTGTTATCTCACTGCTACAAATGTCTCCATTGCCTTAAAGGGTGGAAATTAAAAAAGTAATGTATTATTTATGCAGTAAAATTATCATTTATTTAATTAAACACACATTAAAGTAAAATTTAAGCTCTCCTGTCGGGCTCCCTTAGAAAATGGACTCTGATGTTGACTCTCCACCCCTACCCCCCTTCCCTTCCCCTCCGCTCAGATACTCTTCTGTACATGAAGAAACGCACTGGATTTGTATATCTATGGATTAATATTTCATGGTAAGTTGGATATTTGTATTAAAATTAACTTATTCTTCTCTTCAGTATCAGCTCTCGTCTCCTGTTCCATCCCAAGCCTCGCATGTGGAACGCAACTCGTATGCGTTCTTCCCAGGAGATTCGAGGTCCTTTCTCTCGGTCTTTTCCCCTACACGCGAATCTCTATCCTTGCTGCGCCGACTAGACCTCAAGGTTGGCATGGCTCGTAGTATTGTGAATCTTGTCCTGTCTGGTCTTTCCCTCCACCTTTCGCAGGTATTGCACCTTCAGGGACTGGATTTGACTCCTGTGCTTTGAAGTGACTGTCCAAGACTCAGAAGAGTATATTAGAATAAGAAACCAGGCATATATTTAACTAAAATATTTATTTTCAGTTTCTTTCGCCTTTTCGTTTTTGAACTTGATTGTTAACACACACACCCACACATACCATTTTGTAGGACTTCTTTATTTTGACTCAAGAGACCTCAAACGTGTATTCCTGTTAAAACTCAGATTTGAAAACTTTCACGATCGCAATACTTTCTCTTACTACGTATATGTAAGTGAAAGTAAAAAATCTAAGTTATAAATCGTAAAAGTTAATAGAGAGTGGTCAAATCGAAATTAATAATATAATTGAAAATAAATAATTTTATATGTTGTTTCATACCTCCAGTTTATGAGTCACGGGCTCTTTCCAATAAACTAATAAAGTTTGTGAATTTAAAATTTTTGAAGAAAAACATCCTCGTTAAATAAGCTTTAAGTCCATATTAATCAATTTACAAAAAAAATTAAAAGAGAGAACTAATATTAAGAAAACTGACTATCGGAGCTCAAGTTTGTTATCTAGGATATCTCTACTAATATTTAAGATAAATTTTTCTTCAAAATGTCGATATTTTTTCTAACCCGAATTGGTCAAATAATATAAGAATGACCCAAATGTATTATTTAAGGTTTAGCTCCATTGAAATTAAAATTCACTTTTACTCTTCTTGCAATAGCTCGATTTCGTCAGGAAATGGTTTATAGTTGGTTGAGTGATAAATGAAAATTCTATGGTGTGTGAAATATATTCTTATAATAGTCGATGTCAAATTAAAAAAATATTTTGAATACTTAATGGTTGACTGTTATATATTTTAGAGAAAGAACATGGTCTGGGGTGGCGGTCATAAACAGACTAAAATAGTGGAAAAACTATTTTATTTCAACCCAACGTTTCGATCCGACTTTGCTGGTCTTCTTCAGAAAGGAGTCTCGTCGAAACGGTGGCTTAAAATACAGTAGTGTTTTTCCACTATTTTAGTATCTTTATGAACGCCATTTACCTGAAAATTATTTAAATGTAAATGGAGAAGAATATCTCTCAGAAATTCTTAATATTGAAAATAATATCGCAAATTATAGATTTATTTTTTTATAAGTCACACATTTCTGTCAAGTTAATTTTCGTCTATAATGGCAATGATTAAATGTCATATTAAGGAATATACATGATATCAAAGAGAATTGAATAAAACGGAAAAAAAAAACATAATATACAAAAAAAAAATTATATTTTATTAGAAATAAACACGTTTTCCAGACATATTTCAATTATCTTAATTGCTAATATAAATATAGCCAAGAAGGTTTGATACCATAAAAAAAAAATCACCTATATAGCTAATTCTGAAGCCAATCGCCATAGAAAATTCTTACTATCAATTCCCGATTCATCAAATAACAAAACGCGACAATTTCGTGACTCGTTCATTTCTAAGATTACTAATTATCTTTTTGTTACTTTTGCCTTCCTGCTTCATTTAATCTTTTATATATTTACGTTGTACTTAATTATTTGTTTTAATAATTACCTTATCTTGTTTTTTCAGCAACTAAAAAAGAAATTAAAATCGTAAGCTTCACTTTGTGTTTCCTTATTTAGATAGTCCAATAACCATCATCTCCTGGACTAAATCCAGGGCGAAGTTGATTTCTGCATAATGCTAGAGGATTTCACTAACATCTGTTAAGTAAAATAAATAAATAAATGAAAATTATTCAAAATACAAAATACGTAAGTTTTTTCGTACTTTTTTTAAAATTAATAATAAACAAAATGATAAGAGAGTGTTTTGTTGAGTAAATTTACACAACCTCTGCAATCTCGGATTTGTTAGGCAAAATACTACGCAATTGTTTTATGATCCTTGATGAAAATGTATTAAAGAGAATAGGTCGATGGGGATTGTCAGAAACAGCCAGTAGCTGGTAGGAGGCTGTTCTCTCCAATGTGCAGAACCAACTTTTAGCAACGTAGTTACCAGGAAAGACAGATGGACAAAATTCAGCAAGTGGAGAAGAAATCCGGCGTTCCGTTGGAAGTAGCGCTGGATACAGCAGGTATTCACAGATTCACACTATATTCTGTTATAGCATTGTTGATTTACACTATATTATTAGTTAATTTGTAGTACTTTGCCTTAATTAAAAGGAGATACGAACGTCCTTAATTTATTTAAATATATTTTATCGTATTTTTTTTTTTGTAGGCAATCAAAACGAACCATTTTTATCTGTAGATCTAACTAATAGTTTTTCATATTTTCATTAAAATAATTAGTTAATTGATAAGACATCAACTTAGTATCAAAACATACTACTTCATTGTTTCTATTTTTGTAAATATTGAAATATGAGATTATTGCCATAGACGGATAATTCCGTATTTCTAGAATTTTAAACAGATTTTTGTATATATTCGTATAAAGAAAGCGCGACGATTGCAATAAAACGCATTTTGAAGCACTTTTTATATATTTGGGAGTCAACTTATATTTTTATTGAATTCATTTTAATATATTCACGATAGCGTTTCACACTGCTAGACGAGGAACGGTTCCTGGCAGCAGGTTCAAATTAAATTATGAAGAAGAGTTTTGATTCAATCTGGTTAGAGAATGGTGCTGAAGAAAGAAGATGAGAATGACGGGTTTAAAGTCTCAGCCCAATCTCTTAAGAGGCAGGACTGATCAGTAATTCTCATATTATTTCATTCAAGGGTCAATAATACATTCGTGTGAGGTTAATCTTTCACCATTTATATAGGTTATTAGTGACCTAAGCTAAACTTCTCCTGCATGGAACCGTAGGCTCTCCAGCAGATGGAAGAGTAGGTTGGTGATGAACCTGTGATGAGGCGGAGTAGTTTTTAGAGAGACCCTTTCGACCTCCTCCGGCGAGAAGACCTATTTCAGCAAAGGAATAATTAGGAATTGCTTGTCGGATTCACTAGTGGATATAGAAAAGAGCATCAGGGAAGACCATAGAACATGGAAGAGAGGATACATTAGAAGAATGGAACCAGTAGTGGTTAAGGACCCCAAATGGGGATACACTGAAGGCCCGGTATCCCTGAACTAGTGGGTCCCACAGACTATCACGGGACTTAGGCGATTCAGAACGAAGCTTTTTAAACATGGTAAAAATGAGGGGCGGGGAGGCTGAATGGGCTAAAGCGTGTGCACAGCACCGCGAGTTGCCTGGCAACCGGATAATAGATTTGAGAAGATTTAAAAAGTACGAGTTCGCGTCCCGGTGCCGGAGGGGATTTTAAATTCCCCGCCCTCACCCTCCGGTCCGGGAAAATCTCGTATAGCCTAAAAGGCGAGGTAGGGAAGAAAAAAAAAATGATAAAAATATCAACCCATTATGGCGTTCCAGAAATCACCAATCACATCGATTTCATGAGGACCACAAGCCTCTACATTCCGACGTAGAGAGAGTTCCTCCTGCTAACTAATAAACTGAACTATTCGCACTTTAAGAAGTTTGTGAAATCAAGTTGTAGGTCTACCCCAATGCTCCTTCGGTAGGTGCAAAGTTCCACCTTACCAAGAAGGTCGTCGGACAAAAGAGGAGAAGATAAAAACTGAAAAGCGAATAACAACAGGCTGTGTGGCGGAGCTATTTATCATTATGTAAACACATTAACTTTCAACATTGTTATATGAGGTAGACGTGGGCGTTATTTCATTCCTACAAGTGTCTGCATTGCTTTAAAGGGTGGATATTAAAAAAATAAAATAAAAAATAATGTATTATGTATGCACTAAAATTATCATTAATTTAAATAAGCACCAATCAAAATTAAAATTTAACTTCTGTCAAGCTCCCTTACAAATGGATTCTGAAGTTGACCACCTCGCTCAGGTACTCATCTGTACATAAAGACAAACACTAGATTTGAAATCCATGATTGTACCTTGATTGTTTCTTGTTCTAAATCTATAGTTCAAAATAATATAGAATATAACAATTTACTCATAGATTAGTATTTCGAGACCGTTACTAGTATTAGAAACTTTCTTCCCTCCCATTCCTCCCGATATTCTTACATAGTAATAACAATTCAGACTGTCATAAGTTTGACATTTATATTAAAATTAACCTATTCTTAATTCTTTTTTAATAGATCAACACCTATTCACCAACAAATTTGTTGGTATAGAAGAATAATAACTTTTACAGAAAATTAGACAATTTAAGTTTTCTGATTTTCTAAAGGTAATTATGTTTTTGCTAAATATAAAACCACGACTTAAAAAAATATGTAACTGAAGTAATTAAAAATTGCTTCATACTAAATTAGACAGAATTTTCTTTCAATGCAACTAAAATTTGTCTTTGTTAAACCCATAAAAAAGAAGTCATAAAATTTTTATGAAATGTTTATCCGCGATTGCTTATTATATTTTTGTATCATACTACAACTGTATAAAGGATACCCCACTTTTAGAAAAAGATTCACTTCTAGCTGCATAAAAAAAATTATGTGATAAGCTTTCTTGGAATAGTGCAAGTAGTTTCAGATTCTCAGAAGAACTATTTTGAGTTGCAGCTTAGAATGGGTGATCTGTATTTTCAAGCCACATTCCTCACCTTTAATCGTCCGCGTTTTCCTTCTCTAATAGCTGACAACACTATCTATAATTAATTTTTTTTTCTGCTTTCTTTTTCGTCAATAAGGAATTTCTGGCTTCAAATCTGACTATGAAAGGTGATTATTTTTCGTAGGCCTCTACGAATATTAAAAGGATTGAAGTCTTAACTGTAATGGGGGTTTATATGTGACGTTCAAGGGAATGGAACAGATCCGCAACTGTGATACGAATGTTTTTATAATTATAATTAAGTGTAACTGGCTTGCGGAACTTAATTTCATAAATCCTTTTTTAGGCAACCAGCCAGCAGGCAATCATCTCGCGTTAAGTCATAGTCGGGTGACCAGAGAGCAACCAGCCTCTCAGGCGCTGAAGTACACTATACCCGCACAGCGGACCATCGACTGGAGAGCTTTTACACTGATATTCTTTATATTAATTCATTTCACACTCTACGTAGCTTGTCCTTCTGAGTCGACTAGTGAAGTACGTGTGATAGTAAAAGAAGAACAATATTTTTTGTACTGTACTTCATAATTTTATACCCTAACCACTTTCTGATTCTCGGATTGGGACGTTTTCAATCTGAAGTCGGCAAACTTTGTCTATTTAATTAGTTACTAAAAATTTGTAAATACCTCCTTTTTGCTGTCCACTTGGATCGTAAGATAATTTGATCACAATAAGATAATTTGGCGTTTGGCGTGAACTCCGCCTCCAAACTGTCGAAATAGATAAAGTTTGCCGAACTTTGGATTGAAAACCCCCCAATTCCGAGAATTTTCGTAAATAAAATATGTGTAGGTTGCGTTGAGATGAAGCTATTTACGCAGTTTCGGACGGATGTTAATAATATGATAAATATGGTTATGTACCACGGACTATTATAACAGTATGGAAATGTTGTGTGGACGAAGCTTTGTCACGAGTGAGTAGGCGCAGCTACGCCATCCTCATCACATACGCTCATACTTAGCTTATAACGTTGAGTATTTTATTTATTTAATCTTTATTCTTGCCACAGAAGAACCCCATACAAATAGATTCTGTCTTTGTATAACAAACATTATTACTCTCATGGTATTACAAATATATTTCATTTATATACTACCTTAAAAAGCATAGTTGGTAAAAAGTCAGACAGTTAAAATAACGTTAATTACTAACAATTATATAATCTAAAATCAAAAATTCCGTCAAAATACAAATGCAATATCAATAAAAACAATAAATACATTTTATTTTTTAAACATAAATAATAAACTATGTTTTGAAATTCAATTAAAAAATTCTTCGCTTGAAAAAAGAAAACAAACAAATAATATTCGAAGTACAATATCTCTGATCCCCTACTAATTCTTTATAATTTCATAAATTCGATATGAAAAAATACAATCTTCTCATATCTTCTATAGTAGTTGGCTCAAATATTTCCATCCCGTTATGATACCCATTGGGGTAAATTTTTATCTTTGCTATATTGTAAATTTAAATAATACGTGATTAAGTGTCTTATTTTCTTTAATATTACACATTTTGCCCTCAATTTGTGAAGTGAACTTTACCATTTTATTGTCAACTGAGACCTTGATCAAGTATTTTCCCCAGAGAGGCAATCTGCATTAATAATCTGGTATATTTGAAGTTAATCGACATCAACAAATTCTGGGAGATCTGAGGATTATTAAAAAAAAAAATTCAAATGTTCACTATAACCTGAGCCATACAATGTTTTCTTGTCACCCACATGTAGATGTCTTTTATATTTATTTAATATCCTATCGATTGTTTTCACTTTATCAACTACATTTTCCAAATTATTATTTTCTTTTTCAGGTAAATTAAATAATATTATATTATTTTTTCTGCCTCTTTTCTCTGTATTATTTATCCTCTCTTCTAATTGGGAGTTAATCTTTTCGAGTTCATCAATTTTGCTTTTTTCATATTTGAGTTTCGATATAATTATTACGATATAACGATATCGTTCAACTTATTTTCTAGTAAGATGTTAATTTTTCCGGCACCTCCCATTCCTATAATCTTCCAAGAAGGTTGAAACGGCAGTGGCCTCGCGACCTTTTGTGGATTGTATAAATTGGAGTTCTGGCAATGGCCAGATTCTTCACTCAAGACATGAGTGTATGTGGCTAAAGTGCTCTCGACCAATCTCCGCTGGCTTTAGTACCAGTGATGCGGTTGGGAGAGTAGCGCAGGGTTCTCCTGGAGTTCCCTCGCCTGATTGTATATAGGTATGCATGTGTTTTTTTTTCTTAGTTTTAATTTTCTTATTTTTTAGGTTATTTAATTTTATTATCTATTGTATATACTTTTGATTATTATTTTGTTCTATTTATTTTATTTTTTTGTAGATATAGTGTGAATGTCATCCTACCTCACTATAACCAATGTCCAAGAAACAGATTGTTATAATACTCAATAAAGAAATTTTAAAAAAAATTTCCTACTGTTTCTTTAATACTTTGAGTTTCATCGTCGTTGCTGTGGATTTCCATTATTATTGTCTGCAGTGTCACAGTTTCCTCATTTATTTGATTCATAATATTATTTATATCAACATTCATTTTTTAATACAGTATTGGTGAATTACGATCAGGGAAATATATATAAGACAACAATGAGTTGGCTGTAGATAGATAACTTTACCGTGACTTAGCCTGCCAACTTGCACTGGTACTATTCCTGTTTTAAGCCAGGATCATCCAACTGTAATAATTTGAAAAAGATCACTTATTATTCACAATATTCTTTGGTTCTGATAAAAGGCAGTTTAAACACACTAAGATACACCACTATACCGAATATATTCATCCAATAATCAGTTCAAACCATTAAGATTAAATAAAAACACAGAGAGGATCTGCACTCTACCATAGCTATTAGTGTTGCCCAAATGCGAGACCATGACGAGTCTTGGTCTTGCAAACTCAGTTTTGGTCATGGTCTTGGTCTTGCGCAAGAGTCTCGCAACAGTCTTGCGGTTACTTATTAGCTTATTACCACAGAGATATTGAAATATTAATGAAAAATTAGAAGAGTTAAATGCATATGTACATTGATTATACCAATTATTAACATATAGTAACTAAGGTTGTCAAGTATTAGTAACTATTTTGCCTTAATTTTTATTTTAAAAATCTATTTTTTTTACCAGTCCTGGTCTTGGTCTTGCAACAGTTAGGAGGCCTTGGTCTTGGTCTTGCAAAGTGCTAGACCAAGACCGATTTTGGGCGACACTAATAGCTATCGATAGACTCCTATACAGTTAAGTATCTTTTACTTATTAGCTTATAATAGTGTTTCACTTTCAGAGTTTTCATCCCAGAAATATCTTTCCATTTTTTTCTCACCTTTTGTTTCTGAATAAAAGTATTCAGTTTTAAAATGTATTTTTTTGGCTTTTATAAATACATATATATAAAATCACTCTCAGCCTCTACTACACCTCCGAGACGCATTATTATAAGTTGAACATGATATTTTTTTTTAATTATTTAGAATTTGTAATTAAATTTATTTTTTATTCCATTCCTTTTCTTTTAGGCTATATGGGTTTTTTTCGGGCCAGGGGAGAGGACGTGATTATCTCGGAGTTAAAAACTACTCTGGCACCGGGACGCAAACTCGTAATTATTTTTCATCTAACCTTAGGTCAAGCAGGTTTCCGAGCAACGCGTGTTTTTCCCACGGGACAGAGGCAAAACTAGACAGAGAACCCGCTAATTTTTTAGTTATATTTGCATTGTAAAATATGCTAAGGGATCCGTTCTTATAGGCCAGGACTTTAACTTCTAAAGTTAGAAGCACCTGCCTAATGATAAAAGTAAACAATTTAAGAAACATGAATGATCTCATAAATTAAAGCATGTTAACCATAAATCATTAGCTAACTGTTATGTTTTCCGCAGGAAGTGGTCTGTATACTTGGTATGTCGTAATAACATCAGGACTGATTGGCTTCGCTGCTGTGCTGAGCATCCAAGGTATGGCATTCGCGATGCCTTTGGCAGGCTGCGAACTGGAGCTGTCTTATACAACCAGGGGAATAATGACTTCAATGGGCTTCAATGGTACTGAGATTTTATTTTATAGTTTAATATATCTTATCGAGAAATAGTAGTTTTCAACATGTTTTATAGTAAAATTAATGCTTTAATTCCAGTTAGTTTAGTCATATAACCTTTCTTTAAAACACCGAATTTAATAAATATGCAGTTAATAATAATTTAGTCTGATATGAGAATCCTGCTAGAGTTCAGACATCTCTGAAAATCTCAAATTAAATGTGTGCAATGCAACGAAAACGCCAGTTTTGATATATAACTGCAAGATCTGGAAACTGCTGATTAGCACGATAAAAAGAGGTATTAAAACATTTTAGAGAAAATCGTCCACACTTAAAAAACTGATCAATCTATACCTTATGATATAATAGCAAGGATACTAAGATCCACCTGGAAGCCTATACACAAAAATCGATCCATCAATAGTTGGCAAGAGCACCTTAATAGACGTGGGAGGCCTAAAGTCTGACGGACAGACAGAGTCAACAAGGGTGCAAGCACCAAACTGGAAAGCAGTAGCTTAAGATAGGCAGAGGTGGAGAAGTTTTCACGAAAAGTGGGTAAAGAAAGTTAAGATGTCGGTAAATTCATCAGAAAAAAAAGTTACAAATAATACTTCAGAAACCTAAAAATATCATAACTATCTTTTGAAGTTTTCTATTATAATATAAAATATGTTCATTAATTATAGAACATTATACTAAAAGTTATCCTAATTTAATAGGCATGCTGGTGTCGGCACAGTTCTTTGGGTTCCTGGCAGATAATTTTGGAAGAAAACGAGTTATGATGTTCACCCAGGCGGCAACTATGGTGGTCACTGTGCTATGGAGCTTTGCTCCAAACACGACAGCTTTGGGCATTATACTATTTTTCAATGGAATCTTGTAAGTATTTAGAAAAATAAAAGAAATTGCAAGCGATCTGAAAACATTGCTTATCTGAGCTTAAATTGATCCTAATAACATTTTATTGTAATATTAATTATTTCGTTAACGTAGCTTTTCTATTTTCTAATTATCAAACTAAAATAAAATTTCTCGGAGATGAATTATACATTGCTACACCAATCATCCAATCTATAATCTATCACATTCGGATAAGTGGAGAATATGACATTTAAATTAAATTAGGATTTGGATAATACGATGACTCAGAGATTATGAAAAAACAAGGTCATATTTAGGAAAAAATATTTATTAATGTAATTGAAAGTAAAATTATTCAATTAAGTACAAAAATAAAAGTAAAGTTTTTTTTTAATTGGTAACATACATAGTTAGGGCACATTTCGAGGATGTTATGAATTTTTGAAATGAAAAATTTCAAACCAGGTGAAAACAAGCGGAAACCAAAGAATAGACCAGTGAAACTGTAATTTATATGACTTACGATTTCTAAAATTATACTTTAGCTTGCACTGATTGTTATTTAAAAGAGGATAGCAATAAAATATGTTGGGAGAAGGAGAGAAGTTCATGGGCCATCGACCTTGGAGGAGAAGGGCACCCATGCTGACCTCATGAATTCATAAATGTCTAAGATTTTGTTTTTATTGATATATTTGTGAATGCTAAAAATCTGCCATTAATTGAAAATATTGACAAAATCGTTTTCCTTTGCGTTGTCACATATATGTACAATATAAGTAAATAAACTCAATTAAAAACTCCTTCAACTCCTCTGTTAAAAATTTAGGATTTTTCATTGATTAAACGCTCTCATGGAATCACCATATTTCTCACATCTCCCTCCGGACAATTTCTACTCTCAAACTATTCCAACGCTTCTTCCATCTCCTACCTCAACATACGCGTAGACTCCTGGTTTCCTCTCTCATCTTCCCCCACTTTAACAACAGCTGTGTGGTGTATGATGGGCTCTCGGTGGAGCTCCTTGGCAGACTGAAAAGAATAATGAAGAGCTACGTAAGATTTGTAATTGGGACTCCGAGATGCTCCCAAATGTCTCACCACTACACCGAGTTAAAGTGGCTCTTCCCCTCCATTCGAAAACAATATTTAATAGGTACGTTCTTCTATCAAATCATCAACAATCATCGTCCTTCTTACGCCTACAACCTTCTCCAGTTCAAGTCCTCAGTCCACTCCCTTTTTACAAAATCTCGACCTTCCGACCTTTACATTCCTTCTCACAGATCTGCCTTATTCCAAAACTCGTTTATTGCTAGTTCTGTTAATTTCTGTAATTCCCTTCCTATCAAAATTTGGCATTCTCCGTCTCTATCTACATTTAAAACCAATTTCTATCTCAACAACAGTCAGACACCCTCCGCTAACCTTCTATGTAAATTTACATATTATTCAAAATGATTTACATAATGATATATTTGCATATAATTCATCAGTTAAATACTTACTATCAGATTCGTCTTCTTTTCCTTTTTTATTTTTTGTTTTTTCAGAAACAGAGTTTCTTGCTACGAAGAATGTAATGTATTTTTTATTTTATTTTTTTTAAAGTGTATACTTATGTTTTACTACTGTACATAGTTTCAAATGTCTTGGCATGGTTTCAAGTGTTGTGTATATAGATTTTTTTATTTTGTACATACCATGTTTAACTGATATTTTCTTTACTCTTTTTTTCTTTATTTTTACTTTTTATGTTTGTTTTTTACTTAGGCCAGATATAATACTTTAATTTTGCACTTTTTTGTTATTCCAAAGGGACTTCGTCCCAGAATAAAATGATTTTGTATTCTCTATTCTATTCTAAAAACAATATTTATTTTTTTAATTAAATCACTTCTTAATTTTACAGTTTGACCGGAACATTTACATCTGCATATGTTTATGTTGGAGAATTTTGTCCATCTGATACAAGATCTAAGGGCCTTCTGATTATGACAGCAATGATGTCAACTTGTAATATTTACCTACCAGGTGATAATGTTATTTCCCATAAGTGATTTTAAATATTAAGGCTAAAATTATTGTACTTTTAATGCCTATTATGAATTAGATTAGGGGTCTCCAAACATTTTGGACCGCGGGCCACATTGATATCTCCACTAAATTTTTCTGGCAATCGCTTGTAATGAAAAAAATAAGTTTGTTCTATAAATGACGATTCAGTCGTTAAATGATCTATCTGAGAGAAACGACTCATGCAATATATGTTGCAGTTACCTCGTATCACAGGCAGATCTACGGAGGGAGGGAGGAAGAAGGGGGCTTTCGGGCTGAATCCCCTCCTCCAAAAACGGTAAAATATAACCATGTTTTATAAAAAAAAAAAAATATTAATAACTATCTCTTAAAGTATTATTGTTCGTGTAATTACATTTAATAGGATTTCAAGAATCCCTAAAACACCATCTCATCTAGGTATTTAATTTCTTCCTTTTTAAAAAAAAAATTAACTATCGTTATATATTTGAAAAAAAATCTTTTGTGCTGAAGCCCACCCCTAAAAAAAAATTAAATCCTGGATGCACTAGTGCCTTGTATTCGAGGGATTTAACAAATTTCATATCTTTTAAATTTCACCATTTAGTCGAAGAAACTTTGATGGGATGTACTTTGGAGACCCCTGAATTAGATCATTGCATTTTTGAACAGGAATTAAGAAAAAAATAATTCAGTGAAGAAGTTTAAAAACAAATAGGGTGAACGTACCAGTTATGGACAGGTTGGAATTTAAATGTAAATAATAAGATTTCTTGTTGCTTTAATGGTTCCGGTTTTCCTATATTGAAGAACAATGCCCCCTATTGACAACTGTATGACCAAAGATTCCAAAAGAAAATTTTAGAATGCCTATCATTGTTGCTTCTATAGTGTCCTAAAGATCAGTGTGTTCCATACATAAGAGTAAGTTGAACATTTATCTTATCTTATCTTTATAGTTGAATAAAGATTTTACAATTTTTCTGAGATATATCCATCACTGATACCAACACCCTGTCCATTACTAGAACAATTGAATTTCGGAATTCCGGGGCGTCCGCCACTAGTGCAAAAAGTTTTTTATTTAAATAATTTTTTTATGTTTTTTAAATTTTAAAGTGTTAATTAGAAAGAGAAGACTCTACGGATTCTAAATGTCCAACGGAGAAGTTTATAACTATAATAATTACGGCGGTAAAAGCCATAAAAGACAAAAGAGGTGCAACCGTGGACCAGCTCCAGACGCAGCAGTCATAGAGGTCGTCCTCACGCGGCTGAGGATCTGACATACTAGACTGACACACCTCCACCTCATAAAAAAAGATCTTATCCCCAGATGTCAATAGTGTGACCAATCGCTAACTATAAAACATATTTTGAAACAGTGCCCTTTTTACACTGCAAGATTAAAAGATCTCGGAATAACCCAGATATATCAGCATCCCTGGGTGATCAAGAAGAAATCTTTACCAAAGTCATCAAGTTCCTGGATAGTGAAAGACTTAAAAAATATATATGACAAGCTTATAATTAATGATCCTTTGCAGATTTATTATTATTTTTTTATTTATTTTTTTTTTCATTTGTTCATGTCAAGTTCATTTGTTTATTAATCTCAATTCATTTATTGATTTTACTGCTATTTTTTTAAAGTTTATTTATTTATCTATTCTATCTTATTATCCATAAATGTCTATTATTATCCTTCTTTATTTATTTTATTCTATCAATCAAATTCTTTTTTTTATTTTTTTTTATTTTTTTTTGTACCTACCATCCAAACAGTATTAAGTGGTGTTATTTAGTTTATCTGGCGCTTATGACCTGGATGTTTTGAGCCTAGACATCGAAACAAACAAACAAAGACAAAAATGTCGTTTGCTATGTCCATCATTGGTGCGCTTACCCTAGTTATTCATACTTATAAATCACTTTTCAATATCCAATTTCTTAATTTAGTTTCAATAGCAGCTGAAAAAAAATTAAATTTTCTTTTCAGCTATGGCATGGGTAATTCTTCCATTAGATCTGTACATACCCGTCATTGGAGATTTTGTATTCACATCATGGCGTCTTTATATCATACTGATAACGGTCCCGCTTGCCCTAGCTATGCTTCTTCTGTCTAAACTACCAGAAACTCCTAAGTTCTTATATGTCATGGGAAAACATGAAGAGACTCTTGAAATAATTAGAACTATTTATGCAGTTAACCAGAAAAAAAATAAGGATGAATTTCCGGTGGGTATTATAACAGAATTTTATTATTATTGTTTAATAAGCTTTTTTTTTTAAACTATGCTTAGAAAGTTTTCCTCAATTATGTCTAGTTTTCTGATATAATATTGGATATAGAGATTAAAAATAAGGATTTTCTTCTGTATTCATAGATAGATAGATAAATAAAATTATGTATTTTGTATAGAACGATTACAGGTGATATGGCTGGTTATTCTATATTTAACACAGTACCAACTCATTACTAATATTATTCATTAAAAGTATACCACACATTAAAGTGATAAGAGGAGATACAGACAATTCAAAATAAAATATCAACAACATTGGTGATAATATGTACAACAGCAATACTATCACAACAATAATAATGGATAATCATATGTTTACAGCACTGACATAATAAATAATATAATCAGATTTCAAGAACCTTCATATCAGACTGAAACGACTAGAAACCGTCCGACGTTTTTGACTACTGCAGCACTTACTAGACAAACGCTCTAAACTTCCAACTATTTACAAAAAACTCATATATTTTACTATAATAAGGCCTATTTGGACTTACGGAATCGAGGTTTGGGGCTCTACTAAACCATCAAATTCCTCTCGTATCCAATCCCTATAATCCAAAATCCTTCGTAAAATCCTCAATGCTCCATACTTAGTCACATTTAAAATCATCCATAACGACCTTAATGTACCATATGTTTCCGATTTAGATCAATCGAGATACCTATCCTTCCTTAATAAACTTCAGAACCATCCGAAACCTCTTGTTTCCAACCTTGCTTCCTCTTCCATTCCTGATAACCCTCCGAGGCGTCTGAAAAGAAGACTGCCTCGGGACCTTCTAATATATCATTATAATTGGAGTGCTACCAATGGGTAGTTTCTCTTCATGTTGTACATGCCAAGTTACTTATTTCATAATACATTATTTCTTTTGGTCCTCTGTGGCTTTAGATCTTTAGGGTTTGACACCCACGATAATTGGCTAGATGTTTGCCTAGGCAATTAGCCCATTTAGCTGGGGTTCCTCTTGTTTTATTAAAAGTGGAGCTGTCATTACCTAGTCCACATCTGACGCACCATGGTGCGTGGTTGCAATACGATCGTTTCTGACCATATAGTTGACATATAAAGCATTATGGGATGTGTTTCTTCTTTCCAGGTCCTTCAATTGTAACCTTCGTATGAAATAGTTTATTGATCTCAAATATTTTGTCATTAAAAGTTTCGTTACTTACATCCACATAAAACATGACTGTTTAAAACATCAGAAGGTTGGTAATACCTACGATTTTGTATCCGTATATTTCATGATCTCTTTTTATTTCTGCGGTTGGTTTTTTGTGACGAAGATCTTTAATTACCACTGGAGGATTTATATCCTCAGCTGTTTCTCAAGCAGCTAACTATTTTTCTGTAATTGTTTGGAGTCTGGGAGTAAAAAGTTACTCCCTTAGAAGTTGTTCTAAGCAAAAAAGAATGTGATTCTGAATTTGTTTGTAAATACGACACAAGATCCGGTGATATAGATTGGAGTTATAAGTGATATTAGATGGTGGATTAGCAGAAGATGTTTGGCATTGGTCGTTGGTACTAGCTGGGACCTGAAAACTATTACTAGTAGTTGCCACTAGTTCCTGTTTTTTTTTCTGTTCCCTTTGGTCCCTTTCTTTTTTTTTATTTCTGTCTGTATATTCCTTTTTCTGCCTGTTGCCAGCTCCGAAGCACCCATATTATTAGCTGTGCACGGAGCATTGTCATAGCAGTCCATTCGAACCACAGCTTGGATTGTCACGGCCTCCTTCATAACAGCGCCTAATTCCGCCTCACTCATAGTTGCTTCTCCAAACCAAGACTTAAATATTTTAGTCAGCCTGGATATTTAGGTAAAACACTTAATCCTACAGTTATTTGCGAAATATTTTTAAACGAAAATAACTGTAACTTTTATAATTGACAAGCACTATATGGTTTTTTTATCCTAGCACTAAAAATTTATTCAAAATCTAGTTTATAAAATAAGAAATCCATGGTTTATTTTGTATTAGGAATGGTTTTATGTTTTGTATTTAGAGGCTTTAGCAGTGTGGCTGTCGATTTAATGTTTTATTTTTACTCCAATATCTGTATTTTTAAATCCTACACAATTGTAAATATTCATAGAATATAGCGACATAATAAAACGGATTTGGTTTTCAGATATCAAGTCTATGTCAGAATTCTGAAGATGAAATCAGTAGCAAAGTTGCAACCGATGGTAACCAATTTATAAACTATTTTAACAAAATGATGAGAGACATTGCTGTTTTATTCACAAAGAAATACGTATTTTTCACTCTGGTGTCTTGTTTTTTGCTCTTCAGTTTAGTTGGATCGTTAGTATACATTTAAATAGATTATTTATAGTGTTACTTTTTTAGCCACATTTAATTATATTTTATTATTAATATTATCTATTGGTAATTTCTAACTGTGCTTACTACAATAGTTTATCTATCAATCTGAAGGCAGCTCTACTGAGCTGATGAGTTCCTATATTATTTGTTGTCAGTCAACCATAATTAGCCAAGACATAAAAGAAATATTTAGTCTCCATTGCTGCGCCTGTTTGTTGTCTTTCAGACTTGGAACTTCGACGTGTGCTGTCGTTGACGATCTTAAGATGCTAATTTCTAAAAACCTGTGCAACCTCTACATTCTCTGTGACTCTCAAGCTGCCATAATCAATTCATTCACCAATGGTCAGACAAACTCTCAAGATATTCTAGAGAGGCGAAACCTCCAAGAAGAGCTTTTCATCACATGCCCGTTCATTGCGCTTCAAAGAACCTTCAATATCAAGAACGGACCAGATCGGTACCTTAGTCAAAAAAAGAGAAAATGCAGCAAATTTACCAACAGTGCCCTGAAGAAAACAGCAGGCTATCCTTCTCAATCCGAATCGTCGTTTTCCATCTGAACATTCTCGGCACGTGTCGAATTCTATTTTTCGATCGAACACTCGCTAAGACTATCCTAATGCTCAACTCCTCAGGATTGGACTGAGGGATTGCCCTCACTACTCATTATGCAGCATATACTCAGCTATATTACCAAATCATGTGCCAGCCAAGAATATTCTCCTCTTAAAGTACTACTTCTAGCGTGTCTAATTGGTCAACATGGATAACATTTTATTCGGTTGCAAGTGGTCATAAAGTACAAGAGGTATGACCAAACATCATTTAATGTCATACGAAGTTCTCCCAAATTGAAATTCCATAAAAACATGGATTCCAAAAATTGTCAATCTCGTAAAAATGTGCCTCCCTCCAAAAATCATAAACCCGTAAAAATGTGACCCCTTCGGAAATTCTGGTATCGCAACTTGAGCACCCTAGGACCTTTCTGGGCTACCCTAATGATTGTAGTACCATAAGGAAAACTGATGGCATAATTATTGACCATTAGTGATTTATAATAAAATAGCTATCCGAATTTTAAAATTCTGGGAACAAGAAAATTCCTATTCAAAATTTAAAAAATACAAAATATCATTATCATATCACATGATGTTAATATTATCTCTCATACATGTTTTGTATCGGCCACGGTGTCTGAGAGTGTTAAGACGTCATCACCTAGGCAACCTAGACTTAAGCGGTGTAGGTTTGAATTCGGTTAGGTTGAAATGAAATTATTTTGAGATGGGCGAACGGAATTAGTCTCGTCATTCTCAATTGGTTAGAATAGATTGATTACCTCTAAGATAACCAATTAAATATTTTTGTAGACCTTAATGGATTATTAGGATTTGTTTCTTTTGATTCACCAGATTCGGCATGTTCAAGTGAAATTATCTTATTTACTTAAGCGATTGATCTTCTCAATCTAAGTTCTTCTACTTACTTTTTGAATACTAAATCTCAGCTTCCTGATTGATGTACACCTCACTGATTTGCCTTATCGGATCACATCATTAAATTTAATTATCTTTAAAGAACTTTTAGTCAGAATAAAACTATAGCTAGAACATTTGTAAATCTTTAACACGGCATATTCATCCTAATCAATCTGTAAAAAATACTACACAACAGCGAGGATTGAGAAGAGTAATGAGGAATGCTATTCGAATCATTCCCTAATTCCATATTGTAAATAATATGGAGGGTTTAGCTGTAATTTACTATGTCGATTACTTAATAGAAAGTTACTTCACCTAATATCACCTTAACTATTTTTATTATAATAGTTTATGTTTTTTTATTAGATGCAACGCCTCAATTATGTGGTTCCCACAAGAGACTGGTAGGATAATGAAGCACTACCAATCAAACGATATATTCAATGTAACACTTTGTGATCTCATGGAAGGCATTGGTTCGGCACAGAGTGACTGCAATATAAATTATGATTTCATGTATGCTGGCATCCTTCTTGGAATATCTGAAGCTATCACATGTGTTATTGTCGGCCTATGGGGCTTAAAACTAGACAGAAAAATATTAATATGTAAGTAAGCTTGTCTTTTAATGGATTCAATTTAAAGCGTAGAGTGTTGATAAAAAAAATTTTAATATTTCCCTTATTTTTAATTCTAGGTATCTGTTCATTTTTAACAGCAGCAATATGCTTTCTGACAGTCTTCTTGACATCACAATACCTCATAATATTATGTCTTGCTTCTATAATTGTTTTACTGTTCACGATGTTTCCTGTAATTATCAGCATTGTAGTTGAATTATTTCCAACACAATTAAGGTACTACATAATATATATAATACATTCGATTAATACAGTACACTTAATATTTTGTATTAAATATCTTATAGGGCAACAAATTAGCTGTCTATATTATTTGTTTCTTAAGGTATCATCATATATCTTAAGGTATTATACCTTACCATTATACCTGAAAAACATGACTATTGACTTGAAAATAGAATTTTTGTGTTTTGTTTTCTATAGTTCGGTTTGTAATGAGAACCTATTATTTTCTAATAAAATTAGAAAAAATAAATAAAAAATCAGAAACTTTTTCAAAAAATAACTATACGCCGTGTTCATTGATGCATCCATGTTTCTAAATTTACGCTAATATCTATGACACGAAAAAAAGGATTTTTTTGTTCCGGTCTGTTATTGTTACACCAGCAGTATCAAAAGATAATGCATTTTCTCCTAAATTTTATTATAGGATTTTAAACATAATATGATATAATATATTATATGTAAATCCAAGCTTTTTCAAAAATATATATATAGCAATTTGAAAATAATAAAATAAAATTATTAATTGCACCAGCTACTCAGTAAAATATAAAAAAAAAATATTTGTTTTAAACTGATATACAAAATTTTGAATCTGGCTGTATGTAAATGTAATTAAATTAAAAAATAAAAATGACATTGATGAACAAATAATTTTTTTTTCGGCATAGATATCAGATTAAATTTAGAGCTATGAATACAATAAAGTACACGACCTACAGTTAATTTGGTCAGATTGACACTAATTATTTTTTTAATACTAAGTTCTTATCACAAATCGATCTATTGAAAATAAAGTTTTTTAAGGTGTCATGTTTAATCAGTCGTTTGGTAATAAAAAACAAATTAAGCCAAGTAATATACAGAAAAATGTATTGTCTTATAAATTCTAACTTATACCTAACACAATTCTTACCAATTATCATGAAATTAAAAAAAATAACTAATTCTAATGACGTCGTTCTTGCAGTTTATAATAAAATAAAAGCATATTTGATCAATACAACGTCTTGGATGTATATATTTGAATTATTTATATTGGATTATATATATTTCAATTAGCATTCAGGTAGAAACCAATTCAATAAAATTATGAGTTATTTTTTTTAATTTCTTTATTGAGTATTATAACAATCTGTCTGTTCGACATTGGTTATAGTGAGGTAGGATGACATTCACACCATATGTACAAAAAAATAAAATAAATAGAACAAAATAATAATCAAAAGTATATACAATAGACAATAAAATAAAATAACCTAAAAAATAAGAAAATTAAAACTAAGGAAAAAAAAAAAAAAAAAAATAACATGCATACCTATATACAATCAGGCGAGGGAACTCCAGGAGAACCCTGCGCTACTCTTCCAACCGCGTCACTGGTACTAAAGCCAGCGGAGATTGGTCGAGAGCACTTTAGCCACATACACACATGTCTTGAGTGAAGAATCTGGCCATTGCCAGAACTCCAATTTATATAATTTACAAAAGGTCGCGAGGCCACTGCCGTTTCAACCTTCTTGGAGGATTATAGGGATGGGAGATGCTTGATAGGGATTGTGCAAGAGGATTTGGGTGGTAAGTAAGGTTCTGGTGAAATTTGGAGAACTTTTCTGGGATAAGGTCTAGGACAAATGGGATGTTAAGGTCATGATGTAGGGTTTTGTTGGATACATAGAAAGGAGCATCGACTATTGTTCGAAGGACTTTAGACTGGAAGGATTGGATGCGCTTGATGTTAGAAAATTTTGCTGATCCCCACAGTTCTAGTCCGTAAGTCCAAATAGGTTTCAGTATTGTCTTGTAGATCAGTAGCTTGTTTTCAATGGAAAGTTTAGATTTTCTGCTTAGTAGTCGGTATAGTTGGCCGTATCGTCGGTTGAGTTCTTGTCTTTTGAGTCTAGTATGCGGGTTCCAAGTTAGTCTTCGGTCTAAATGAAAGCCAAGATACCGGACTGTGTCTGAATAAGGAAGCTGGATGGAATTAAAGAGTACTGGTGGACAGGAATTGCGTCGGAGTGTAAAAGTAATGTGTTGGCATTTAGATTCATTAACTTTAATGCGCCAGTTATTACACCAGTGCTCAATCAAGGTGAGATGACTTTGGAGATTTAAGGATGCTATTTCGGGATCAGAGTTGGATGATAAGATTGCGGTGTCGTCAGCGAATGTTGCAAGAAAAGTATCGGGATGAACAGGGATGTCAGCAGTAAAGAGGATGTAAAGCACGGGACCCAAGACGCTGCCTTGGGGAACACCGGCTTTAACGGAGTAGATATTGGAAAATTCTGTTCCACAGCGAACTCGAAAGGAGCGGTCAGAGAGGTAGGATCGGAGGACTAGGTACAAGGACTGAGGTAAATGGATTTTAAGCTTGGAGAGCAGTCCGGAGTGCCATACCCGGTCAAATGCCTGTGCAATGTCCAGAAAGGCACCCGAACAGTATTCCTTGTTTTCTAGGGCTGAGGAAATATGATCAACGACTCGGAGTCCTTGTTGAACAGTAGAATGTTGAGAGCGAAAACCAAACTGATGGGAAGGGATATTTTGGGATTCTATAATGGGTAGGATTCGTTTCAAAAGGATCTTTTCAAAAATTTTTGAAAGGATTGGGAGTAGGCTGATTGGTCTATAGGATGTTGAGCTATTGAGAGGTTTTCCTGGTTTTGGGAAAAGGATAATAGTGGAGTGTTTCCATAACAGAGGGAAGTGGGTGGTGCGTAGGATACAATTGTAGATATATGTAAGGAATATGACTGCTTTGGATGGAAGTTGTCGAAGGATTTGAGGTGTAAGGAGATCATGTCCAGGAGCTTTACGGAGGATTAGTTTTTTTAATTGAAATTTTACTTCGGAAGGATGAATAGCTTTTGGGGGCAAGGAAAGTGGGATTGGTGATGTAAGGAGTTCTTCTACTGTTACGGTGTGGGCAGGATGGGATTCCGGATGTGAAATAAATGTATTGGATAGGTGAATGGCGAACTCCTCAGCTTTATCTTCGTCAGATGCTGCCCAGGAGCCATCACCTCGTCGGAGAGGATGGGAAATGCGGTGAGGATTTAGGATTTTTGTTGTGGTTTTCCAAAGGGAATTGTCGCGAGAAGAGAGGGAGGATAGGTAGGAGTTGAAGGATTGTGATCTGAAGGTGGCTAATTCCAGTTTTAATTGTTTGCAGTAGTAATTATAGGAGCAGCGGTCGGTAGGATGTCGGGATCGTTGCCATAATAATCTGGCACGGCGTTTGGTGCGGATTAGGTTAAGGAGGTGTTGGGGTAGAATGGTCTTTATAGGAATTCTGGAGGAGTCTTTTGGAAAGGAGGCTGTCCAGGCGGCTTGTTGGATTGTGGTAGTAAAGGAATTTACGGCACTATCAAGGTCATCGGGAGTTTTGAGGGATATGTTGAGATCAATATTATCGGAGATTATTTGGCGGAAAAGGTCCCAGTTTACTGGGCCCCTAATGAATGACGGTGGAGAAGGTTTGGGAACAGGTTCAAGTGAAACATTAAGGATTAGAGGACTATGGTCAGAGGAAAGTTCATTTAGACGTGTAATGGAACAATTGAGGGGACTTAAGCCGCTGTGGATAAAGAAATCTAGAAGATCAGGATTACGGTTGGGATCTGTGGGCCAGTAGGTAGGAGAGTTGGGGGAAAGGAGGTGAAAACGTTGGGAATTGAGTGCAGACAGCAGGGTTCGGCCACGAGAATTCGTGGTTCTGGAACCCCATTGTTGGTGCTTGGCATTTAGGTCTGCACCCAAGATGAAGTGATGTCCTAAGGAGTCGAGGAGAGAACTGAATTGGGCATTGGATATGGATCGGTTAGGAGGGCAATACGCTGATGCAAGAGTGACCGGAAAGGAGAAGGTTTTTATCACGATAGCGGTGGACTGTAGGAAATCATGTATTGGTAATGGGAGTAGGTGATGGGAGAGGGATTGGTGTACAATTACAGCAGTACCGGCATGTGCTTTTCCGTCAGGGTGGTCAGTACGATATGTCAGGTATTGTGGTATATTGAAGTGCTGTTTAGTGGTTAGTCGAGTTTCAGTAATTAGTGCCACATCAATGTTCTTGTCAAGTAGTAAAGTAGATAGTTCGTCTGTATGATTTCTAACACCATTCGCATTCCAAAGGAGAATGGATATGGGTTTAGGGATGTGAGTCATTTAAGGATTTTTCAAAGGAGGGATGAGGTGAGATACGAGATTCGTGAGGAGTGATATGAGTGGAGTAACAAGGGATTTGAAATCGGTGAGGAAAGATGCTAACAAACTTGTGAGATCTGTTGCATTTGAAGGAGGAGGAATATGAGGAATTTGTTGTTGGTGGTTAGGTATATTAGGATGAAGAGGATTTTGAGGTTGGGTTTGAGGTTGTTGTTGTGGCAGGGCTTGACATTTATCGGTTAAAGTCTTACCTCTCAGTAGTTGGGAGAATGATACATCATTGTTTACAATTCTGGAAGGCTCTCTCTCTCTTCTTGTTCTTAGTGCTTGATCTTGAATCCGGTTTTTCTGGTGTCTGGTTTTGAGATTCTTGTAAATTTGGCAGCCTTTGTAGTTGGCCGGGTGTCCCTCCAAGCATAGGGCACATACTGCTGGATCTTGTATAGGTTTGGTGCACTCTACAGATTTGTGCTGTTCACCGCACTTCACGCAACGCGGCAGATGGTGGCAATATGTCTTCGTGTGGCCATAGGTCTGACAATTATGGCACTGCACGATGTCTCTCTTGGGATATGGCTTCTCAACTTTCACCATTGTATAGTATATTCTTGTGATATCATATATTCTTTCGATACCTGGTGATGGCTCCAAGTCCACGAAAAACAATGGTAGTGGGATCCTATTTCGTAATCCTGGCTGTTCCCTGTCCTCCTTCAAAACGTTTGTTACCTGGCGTACATTGAAACCAAGCGTCGTTAGTTCTTCTTTAATAACTTCCGTGGGGGTTGAGGAATGTAAATTTCTTATCACCACTCGTAAAGCTCTTTCCTGCCTCAGCTGGTAAGTGTGAAAATTCGCATTTGTTTCTGATAAGTACTTCACTATTTTTCGGTAGGCTTCTGCAGAATCAGGTGTTATCTTGGTGTCATTGGTCCTGTTAAGGCATGAATAACTGCCAGAGCAGATTTTATTTAGTTGGGTGCAGAACATCTGGAAATTTTTTATATTTTTCACAAATATCGGAGGAGGCTTTGGTTCTCTGGGTATTGCTGCAGACTCCATTACTTCTTTGTCATTTTGAAGCACTTGGTAAGGGTTTGGAGTAAAGAAAGGTGATTCTTCAATCGTTTCTTGTGCAGACGTACCTGGTTGGGGCTGAGGTTCTGGTTCTGAAGTGTTCATTTTGGTCACTGGAGGTATTTCTCGTAGGCAGCGACGAGTCCTTTGTTTGGCTGGTGAGCTAACTCCGTCCGACCGAGACCTCTTGGGCACCTTACTGGCCATCACTTGCTGATCATACCGCATATCATAAGAGAAAAACAAATAAATAAATAAAAAAAAAGAAAAAAAAAAATTTTTTTTTTTTTTTTTTTTCCTTAAAATAACAAAAAAAAAAGATGCCAACAGTAAATATCAACTGCTCTGATATACACTTTAACTGTATCACGGGAATAATCAGAGAGATTCCGCTATAAAATTGGTAAAAACTGAGAGAGGAGTTGAGGAGACCATGAGTTATTAGAATTTAGGGTAGACTTTAGAAGACAATATTTTAAATAATACTATATGTTAATTATTATTATTAGTTATATTGATATGCATTACAATTCATTCACTTAGATCGACCGCTGCTTCCCTAACGATGACCTCCTCAAGATTGGGTTCTGCATTGGGTGGTCAGGCATTAGGAATTCTATTCGATAGCCATTGCAGAGCGGGTTATTTTGGAATGACAGCTTTCGTTACTGGTATTTTTATTTCTTAAGTTATTTAAATTTTATTTTATTTTTAAATTAAAGTTTCAATTATATTTATTTACTTATACATTTTTTTTCTGTTTAAAGTGGCAGGAATCTTATGCATTTTTATACCGACTGGGCAGAAGAAGAAACAAGAAGTTTAAAATGTTCTACAACACTAGTCCAAAAAGACTGTAATGTTTTTATTAATTTCTGTAAATTATTTATACATTTTTTTGCATTTATTATAATTTTATAAAAGAGTATATTTTATTATTACATTAGTATTTTTATTTTTTTCCTAGTTCGAATCTCACTTGAAGTTTCTTGTAACAAAAATAAAACTATTATACCCCAGTGAGAACTCTCAAATTAGATAATTATCCTTCTTCGTAAAACATTCCACATCTTGTGACTTTACAAACGATCTACACACCATTTTACAGGACAATACGAATGAAGTTGACAAACTTTTATTTTCTGAAATGTTCCAACCTTGACAATATAATTTAATTCTTAACAAAAATAAGTCGATAATGATCCAAGTATAATGATCCAATCCGATAATGATCCAAGTAGTTAAAGCCTTTAAATAAGAGCAATATCAGCTAAACGTGTTTATTCGTTTACACAATAATATATATAGTAGATTTCCGCTCTCGGATTAACCCACGGTAATGCCACCGTATGACTTATGCCACCGTCATTATAATAGTTATAAACTTCTCCGCTGAACATTTAGAATCTCTAGGGTTTCTCTTTTCTATTTAGTACTTTAAGATTGAAAAAATATTCAGTTATGTAGGTATAATCTTCATTTTAAAAACAACTTTTTGTACTAGTAATGGACACCCCGAACATCAATATCAATGGACAGGGGTCGGTGCAAGTAAAGATCATGCCTCAGTAAAATTCTAAATTTTTATTTAACCACAAAGATAACGATAAAGATAAGATAACATAAAAGTTCTGATTACTCATAGCAAGACTGTTAGTAGCACACTGATGTCAAGAGCACTATAGAAACAACTTAGAGAGGCATTTTAAAATTTTCTTTTGGGAACTTCGTTCATGTAGTTGTCAATAGAGAACTGTAGCCAATAATCTAAGAAAAAAATAGAACCATTAAATCAACAAGAAAGCTTATTATTTATATTCAAAGTCCAACCTGTACATCACAGGTCCGAACGTTCACCACAGCGGTAAAAGAAAAAATAAATTTTCAACATCATTAAAATCACTTATATCTTTGTAAGATTTTCAACCACTGGTTATAAATTTAATTTTTGTTGCATTGCGGTTCTATAGATTTTAAATAGATTGAAATATATACAAAAAGGTTTTTTGTTAATTATTTGTTTACAATTAACCGAAGCTCAATAAAACAAATTCATTCGAAGGAAAATTGATTCTTAAAAGAAAATCCTTATCCTTCATTTATTTGACAGAAAAATGATAACAGAAATGAAGAAGAAGTGAGTAATTATCGACGAAGTACTGTTTACAAAGCAATCGTTGAAGAACTGTTGGAGATTAACGGTTTGAACAAAATCATATTTATGTATTAATTTATATGCACTGTATCATAAAATGTTTATATTGGTAACACTAAAGCTCGTCAATAGCTACTAAACCAAAACACAATTTTCACTTACCGCTGTACTTCGGAAAGCAGTACTTATATGGCAAAATTGGACAATTAGAAGGAGTTTTTGAAAAGCATTTTTAATGCAGCTAAACTTTAAACAGCATATTGTTTAATTTTGGCCATATTTATCGATACAAAACTCATTTAAACAATCAAAATAATATATACCTTATTTATTATATCGATTGTGGAAAATAAAAACCTTATAACTGCATCTGTTAGTACAAAGACAGTGCCTCTCTAGAGTGAGGGCAGCGTCGCAATGACAAGCGGACTTCCCGCCTGTTTTCGTGATAAAGAAACAGGTTAAGAACCTCCCTAAGGAAATCCCAGAGCCTGAGTCCTCCGAAGATAGAAATTGGAAGAGGATTAACGAGACAGACAGCGAAGCCCTTAGATCGGATAACGAAGGCTACGATCCAGAAGCCAAACGCCACACGTTTCCCGCCCGTTCCGCCCCGGAAAAGCCTTTCCAGATCCCAGTCGCCAACAAATATTCCGTGTTGAGAGTGAATCTACCGGAGGAAAACAGACCGCCGCCAATCATCATAGCACCCCCGATAGCCCAGGCAGCGCTGAGAAATATTATGATGGAGAATAATATAACATTATTCACTACCAACTCATCATCAAAAGAAACTCGCCTCTATGTCAACACCGAGAGTGACCAATTCCAAGCCACTAGCTTTGCGCCTCGACAATAGGGTGCAGTTTCATACTTTTAGTTAGCTCCAATCTCGAAAATATGTGATTCATGGATTCGATATTGATCAGCGTCCTCTCGCACATCAGCAATCGAACCATTGTTTATATAAACTTTTTTGTATTTATTGGGTTCTGCTATTACTCCTTTAAATATTTCCCTCTGCTTACGAGACACCCTGTGTATAGGTTTAGACATGTAAAAACTAAATTGCTAACACTTAACTTTTTTGGGGTCACCAAGAGAAAAAGCAAAAAAATCCAGATTTATCTGATTTTTTTTTCAGGTATTACTACTAAAGACTGTATCAAAGCGAAAAACGTATTCTTTAAGAAATTAAAGAAAGTAAAATTGTATGTCGAACGAGTACCTAAACTTAATAATTTGATTAATTGATTTGGTTGATAAACACGGTCAATGAACGCTAATTTTTACCGAGATTGTCAAAATCTGTGAAAGATTACTATAAATGGTCCTGTAGCTTCGAAATAAATTTTCTAAGAAAAAAACTCATAATCAGGTTCCGATCAAATCGGAGACCAAATAATAAGTATCTTCCTTCAACACTTTCTAATGAGAAACATACAAATTATTATCCTGACCAGTTTTATGAATCGTATGGTTTCTTCAAGGAGACTGAACAGATGAATGAAAGATATTTTTTTATTTATCACTTTGCATAATAAGTCAATTAAAGAAGTTGGAGGTTGCATCCAGATCTATCGGAACTGAATAAAAATTGGGATCGAGAGAAAACCCGTATTTTCTTGTGGTCGAATAAAAGGTTGTTCGAAAGAATAAATAAAGTTCACTTTGTTGTTTTAATAAATTTTCCTCCATCATGTATTTCACCTGCGAGACACAGTTCGGAGTCAATAGCACAAGCCTTCGTATCTCAAGGCAACCCAAAAACTACATCCTCTTTACTTTAAATAGGTGTTTTTTGTCACTTTTTTGGAATTGTTTTCCACCATCTAAGGGGAAGGCGCGCCCCCTCGCAGAATTCGCTAGCGCAGGTCACGATAATTTTTTTTTATTTATTGCTTTAAGAAATCCGTGCATGAGAATGAATTTCCCCTACACTTTCCTTTTCTTTAAATAGGTTTTATCACCACTTTTTTCGTTATTTTTTCACCATCTAAGGGAGGGTGTGGACCCTGGCAGAATTCGCTAGTGTTGATCACGATAATATTTTTTTACATTGCTTTAGAAATTCCTGTATAAGGATGAATTATTCGTACAGTTCTCTTTTCTTTAAATAGTTGATTTTGTCACTTTTTTCAGATTTGTTTCTATCATCCGCGAAAGGACCCCTGGCCGAATTCGCTAGTGCTCGTCACGATAATAATTTTTTTTTTATATTAAATTCATCGATATAATCTTTTCCTGTATTTCTCTTTTTGTATAGCAACTTTTTGGAACTTTTATTGGTGTATTTTTTCTAGCTTCCGGAGAGTGGCGAGCGCCTCCTGCGCACCGCAGCTGGATCCGCTAGTGCCCCCAGTCGATACCATCTGCAGAGTACCTCAAGTGACTGTATCAGGGTCAATACTGTTCGTCATTTTCACGACACCAATAGTGGCACTCAAGCTTCATGAGGCGGAGGTAGCAGCCAATGCGGATGACAATGGCATATATGCTTCCAGCGTCATCGCGTGGACTGCACTCACTCTGGCACAGAATGTTTCAGCCACCATTGTTGAAGAACAAGAAGCGATCGTTTGAGAGTGAACCCGGCGAAGATTGATGCTATTGTCATGTCGTTTCAGAAGGGAAAGAAGGCTCTACCCACACAGTTCACCGTTGGAGGAGTTGATCATAAAATCTGCACATCGATCATCTACCTTCGCGTAACACTGGATAGACATTTAACCATCTTCAATCACGTTAGGCAGACGATCAAGCTTGCACAGCACAAGTCTACCACCTACTGAAGTCGCCGCAGCTCTCGCTGAGACTCAAGCTCCAAATTATATGTATAAATCCACGCTTACGAGACTGCAGGGCTTCCAGAACTTTACCCTTCGGCGAATTGTCCGTGGCCTTATTCCATTTTGTTACATTAAGTATATACTATTATAAACATCATTGTTATCTCTGTTCTCAGTAACTTCTTAATATTACACTTACAACTTTATATGGATTTACGTTTTCATCCACTTTGGAAGTGTGGGTGTTGGCATAGGTTGTTCTTCCTTGGCATCTCACCCCTTAGTAGTGGTACACTGTGGGCCACCACCTAGACATCAGGCCTTTTGATATGGTCATACCCTATAAGCACTCTGAACGTTTCACCCTGAAATTTTTTTAAGGAATCGCTTAGGTCCTTCCTCACGCACTTTACATCCCCTTTTGGACCATTCATTGACTGGACTACGTTAAGAAAAACAGATATAAGGCCTATAGTTTAGAACTTATATTGTTCTTTATTTCTTTACCTGGCATTTAATTAACAAAACGTAAGACTACTGTGTTGTATTTTGCATGTATGCAAAAGTAATTTCCTTATCTAAGAATTTTAGTGAAAAATATTTTAATTGATAATTCCATTAAATTGTATTTACTTTATAGGAGAAATGTTTATAACTACTGTTTTCATTGCCTTCTCTGCAATATCAACATTTTATTTGAACACTCTAGTTTGATATCAAACAATGTCAGTTGTAAAAATCACACAAGAGAATACACAAAGCTTGTAAATAAACTTTTATCTCTGTCAGATCGTTTGAGAGCCTCTGATTCAGCATTACCAGTCAAGGAGAACTGTAGCCGGCTGTAAAGTTATTACATCACGCATTAAAATTTGGTGCGAGCATCATACAATTTTCACTCACTACTCTGATAAAAAAGAATTTAAAAAATAAATAAATAAAGAGCACCCATACCACTACAACCCCTGAATGATTTTGGTTTCAATACCTTATTAGGAAGTACTGCTTCAAGGCCATCGCATGTGAAGGGTTCAGGATCACGCTTTACCGCCAAGTTTTCTCCCTTAATCAAGAGTACCTACTTTATAGAGGCTTGGAGAGACCCTCCATGGAGGTCACCCGACTTGACATTAGCCGGATTTGAACCCGAGACCTTGAGCTTAGCAGCCCAGTCATTAAACTTATTAAGCTACTCCGCTCCCCCTTACCACTCTACTTTAAGTACAAATTATTTTCTTATTATTTAAAAATACGGTATTTGCAAAATGTTTTTGAAGTGTATTTCTAATGGACCTCAACCTTAAAGAACAAAGCTGTGAATTTCGGTGTATCTATCAATGCAAACCGTACTAAGATCATCAAAATCACTAAAGTCGCATTTATTAAGTCGACGGTAGACATTGAAAACCTCGTAATTTGTTGTTGATTTCTCATATTAAGGGGCAGCAGTTAACAACACCCTATGCAAAGAATGACCAGCAGAATTGGCAATTCATAATATAATTTATAACAAGATTTAAAATATCATATTTTGCAAGCGAAAGGTCACCAACAAGATGTTTATCAGCCGAATCTGCTCTAATAATTGAGCTACGTTAAACAGTTAAACAAACCTCGACCGGCCTGTCCCATCACTGTGAGAACAGCAAATGCAGAGAGAGCAGTGGCTGCTCGAATCAAAATAAATCCCATTCGAAAACAACAAATCATGTACCGAAAAATGGGAATCTCTGTCAGATCAATGTCTCGCATAGTAAAAAGTGACCTTAAGGGATAGGTGCATTTCGACCTGACTAAGTTGTAAAAAAAAAAAAAATAAGTTAGTAAAAACTAAAAAATTGTGGCCTTATTTTATTTTGTAAATTATTTTCTTTTGCATTCAGTATTATTAATTATAACTTCGTACATAAGGTAGTTTATAAATTTGTATAAATAAAAATCGTATTTCGATATTCTATATACCATGGTTTTAATGTTTTGTATTAATTTTAGTTTTACAGACATCATGAGCTATTTTTTTGAAAAACCGTTGTGAAAACAAATAGGTTTGATATGAAATCCACTGTTGTAGATCTTGCGTCATCGTTTATAACCGTTTCGGTCAAATAGAGGAATCTACATTTTATCTAGATATTTGTTTTTCTAATGACATATGTTATGGATCGTGTGAAATTCATTTCCAAAACAAGGCCATCCTAATAACCGTCCCGTCTTTTTCCAAAATCGACATAATACTTAATGCGATACTTGATTGTATCGTGAGATTTTTTTTTTTTTAACGGCAACGAACTATGCACAGTGGGGCAGATGACCTTAATTTTTAGCATACATTATTGTAACCGATTTCCACAAAAAATTATGACTTCAATAATTTTTAAATGGTCTATATAAAACCTGTTATATTGGAGTTACACTCTAAGGCGGAGAAAAAAATATTGAAAGATTTGAAAAATCTTTCTTGAAAGGAAAAAATCCTCTGAACGATATCCGGAGGGATCTCGAATCAGATTACTAACACGTTAGGAAGAAAGAGCAACAAATAACCGCCTACAGATATCCAATAAATATCTTATGATATGGTGGCAAGGAGGGTAAGATGGGCGAGGAATGTAGCTCGTAGCAGTCCATCTAGAAGCCTCTACATAACCATAAATGTCGCAGTAGAATGCAAAAGAACACATGGAAGGCCAAAATGAAGATGGATCGATAGAAACAACAAAGATGCAACAGAGCTGCATGCAGATGACTGGAAAAAAGTAGTTCGAGACAGGCAGAGCTGGAGAAGGCTGATTAAGGCGGCAAAAGACCTACAATGTCTATAATGCCAACACAAAAAAAAATATCTGGTACGCGCAACACACAACTTTCACTTACTGCTCTACTTAGAATAAAAATTATTTTTTGCCAATGTTGGGCTATTATGAAATTTTTGAAGTGCATTTTAAACGGAGGTAAAGCTTAATGCTTACAGATAACAAATCATTAAGACCATTAAAATTACAAAAAGTCTATTTATTACAACGTTGGTGGGCAATAAAAACCTACTTACTCCATCACACAACTTCATCATACATTCATCACACATCATACATCACACAACTTCAGTCTCTGAGCCTTTCAATTGACAGAATGGATAACTCCAATTTCAACTTTATTGAGTAATGTCATATCAGTGGTATTTCTGATTGGAAAAGTTTCATCCATACAGACAGTGAGTAAGTTGATTCCAGACTATGTGATTGCAGTGTTAAAACATAGAACTGTGAATAAAGGGTATATATTTAAACACCACTAAAATTAATAATAAAGAATGTTGAAATTGGAGTTAGTCATTCTGTCAAGTGGTTAGCCGATTTTAACGAAAAAGTTGCTACCATATCGAAACTATAAAAAAAAACCTTAAATACGCAATTTAAGTTTCGGGCGACTTTTCGTTTTTGAGCTATGCTGTTCACATACACACAGACACATGGACTTGGTAATTTCAACTCAGGAGACCTCAAAATGTATCTTTTCATTGAAAACTCATACTCTAAAATTTTCACGACCGCAATACATTTCCCTATTATATATTACATACTTAGGTAAGTGAAAGTAATAATAAAAACATAAATTATAGGTTTTACGAAGAAGCGAAACCACGACCACCGAGATGATATGATACTGAGAATTTGTAAAATGATTAAACTGTATCAATGAGTCACATGGAATTCTCTCGTATTTCTTTCTAGGGGGGATATGTTTCAAAATATTAAATAACATGATTTTTCTCACTCCTCAATTTATGCAGTGTTCAAATATCAATAAAAATATATTTCAAAACATTGAGTTATTGGATTTATGGCCGGTTTAAGGCGTTCTACCCCACTGTGCAAGAGTCGTTTGTTATCAGATCGAGAGAAATTCTGAAAAAATACAGGCGCTGTCTATCCATATTAGTTTAACAGTGTGCATTGAGGGTTGCCCAGAAGGGAATTCGCAAGCCGCGCTTTCAAACAATTTTAGGGGTATATTTTGGTAGGGTTTTTAAAATTTGAAGGGGGCACATTGCGGCGGAGTCGTGAATTTTTTTTCATATTGTTGAATATTGTTTCATACTATGGTATGAGGGGAAAACATGGAGCAGGCCGCAGCAAGTGTAATTGTATATGATCTACGATTATCCTAATTCTACCTTCGCTTGTTCTGTTTTTAAGAAAAATCGATCAATAAAATATTTTGTGAGTAAGGGAGATAGGTTCTTACGCCATCGAACTTGGTAGAGGGATGGGCACCCTGAATGCATTAAGACCGAGAAATACGATAAATTCCTTTCTTCGCATTGAAGAGGCTAGCCGATAAACTATAGGTCTGAACCGCTGATGCACTGCTAAAAGTACGCGCGGATGTTGAACAAAGGGAGGAGCGATATGTCATGATGCTGCTCTTTGACATCCTCTGCCTGACACCGCAACCCCTCACAAAAGCAGAAGACTAGATTAGCGACGATACATAGGATGTGCTGCCGGTGACTAAGGCCTGCAGGACTGAATCACATGAGGCAGTGCATATCTTGGCAGGAGGGGTGCCTCTCGACCTACCTACTTGTAGAGGCTATAAGCGGGAAGGCTCAGCAGGAGTTCCGAAATATCTTTGAGTGAGGATTGCAGATGAACCCAATAGATGGAAACAGATAATCCGGGACCACACCACTGAAGAATGGAATCGACGATGGTTGACAATCCTGAAAGGAGCAACCTTCTGAAAGTTCTTCCCGACTGTACACTCGCGATTAACGGCAAAATGGATGCACCCGGATTAATGGGTTTCGCAAGTCCTCAAGGAGTATAGGGTGCAAACTGCACAGTTTTGGCAAGAACGTCGACCCCCTATGTCCCAGATGCCACGTTCCGGAAACTGCCGAACACGTAGTAATAACCTGCACTTGCTTTGTGCAGGACTTAAGAACAAGATATGGAGGAAAATGGGGTTGTTCGTTAATACAGAAGGTAATTTCCCCGTCCTCATGAAAAAAGAAAACTAGGCGTACTTCGAAGTGTTTGTGTACGGGTGGAAGACGACTTTGGGACCGAAACACTTTAACCATGGAGTCCCTAGGCGAAGAGAGGAGGCGGCAATCCATAATGGACAAAGCTCTTAAAGGTGTGGACTTCAGTTGAAGCACTGAAGTCTAAATGGCAGGAGTAGCGTGATAGATATATTAGTTATTAGGCTACGGTCACCAAAACGCGTATTGCTGTAAGGCAAGAAGGGTGTAAATAAAATAATAATAAGGTCTGGGTCCACCGGTAAGCGATTCCTGTGTGCTGATAGGGACGTAGAGAAAAGGAAATAAAATGTTTTTAATAATGTACAAAATGATAAGCGAATGTTTTGGTAGGGTTTATTAAACAATGAGATAACTTCTGCAATCAGGGGTGCTATCAGCGAACTTCTACGCAACTGTTTTACGACCATCAAGAGAAGTTATTTAAATGAAAAAAATGATAAATATATTCAGAAACAGCCAGTAGCTCGTATTAGGCACGCTGTTCTCTCCAATGTAAACACCCAACTTTTAACAGCAGGAGAGAGATATGGATAAGATTCAGCAAGTAGAGAAGAAATCTGGCGTTCCCTTAGAAGAGGCCCTGGATACAGCAGGTATTCGCAATATATATATATATATATATATATATATATATATATATATATATATATTTACAACTTTTCCTTAATCGACCTTTGAGTATTAAATTTAAACTTAACTATTTAATTGGAAATAAGGTCACTTATTAGTTATTTAATAAACTATTATTATAGTTTATTACAACTATACAACTATAGGACTTATAAAAAGAAAATATTGGAATCGAAACATCAATAAACATAGAAGAAATGAACATTCAATAATTTATTAAATAATTAATAAGTGACCTTATTCCTAATTAAATAGTTAAGTTTAAATATATATATATATATATATATATATATATATATATATATATATATATATATATATATATATAGAGAGAGAGAGAGAGAGAGAGAGAGAGAAAGAAAGAGAAAGAGAGAGTGAGAGAGATTCAAATAGTACTTTCTTGTTTGCATATATCCTATTTATTTTTTATTTATTTATTTTTTAATCTTGGCCTATCCTCTTCTGGCTTTTGAAGTTATCTTATTGATTTTCAGCGCTGCCAACTGCTCATTCGTTTCCGTTATCGAGATTTAGCTTTTTAAAAGGTTTTTATGAGGAAATATTTTCTTCATCTGAATATTCAATGTTTTGTAGTTGAACTCTTCTCATTGACCTATTCGTTCGTATTATCAACTTTAATATTATTTTTCTTTTCAATAAAAGGGGGGAAAATGAAAAGATGAATAAATGCTCATGAATTTGCAGGTGTCATAAAATAAATATATCAATGTTACAATTTAAAATTTTCGGTAGTAATCGAAGCTAACAAATAAACTGCCCTAAGAGCTGTTTTTTTCGGTGAAAGTATAAATGGAGTTGCGTGCAACATCTGCTTTCTGTCGATTAATTGGTCTTTAGGTTTTTAAACCCAACAAACAGAACAAATAATACTAGCTACTCGTATATCTGCAGGGATCTAACGTTTTTGATTTCCTAAACTCAACATCTTTTTGAAATTAAACTAAATCCATTAGATAAATTAGATTCTTTCCAATGCTTATGAAATAAAGGAACTTTTCGTATTTCGATTGTAGTTCGAAAATTTATTGTTGCCAACCGATTATGCTTGTCTATTTAGCTGAATCTGCTCATCGCCACGGCCAAATCCTCTGAAGTTAACATCATAATTTTAAATAAAAATGATAGCCTTAAATTTAATTATTTTCATTTGTTTCTGAAGGACAGCAATACATATGATGGCGATCTTATTTAATAAATACACGCCATTTTTCTGGTAGCTAAAGTTGAATAACAAGGTTGTGTTATGCCTGTACCGTAAAATGTTAAAGATTATCTACACATTAATGCCCACCTTCAACAAAATGATGTTTCTTGAAAAATTTGACTATAACATATAAAAAAATATGATAATATATTATCTTAAGAATTGAGGAAGTATCTCTGATTTTAAGTTCAATGAAATCACAGCAATGTTTACCGTTTTATCAATAAGAAATCAGTAATTTAATTAAAAAATAAATCGATTTTTTAATGTCCCGATTTGAGTATTTACCTCAGGTAATTTTTTTTTAAATTATTTAATGTATTTTGGATTTAGGTATATTTGAATTACTCTGTAAAATGCTTTTAGTAAAATGTCACTTCAATCTTTAAAAAATTATTTTAGGGGTTAAATTATACAAGTTACCTTGCAAAATGTTGGGTAATTTAAATTTCCTCTTTATATTGTTAGCTATGTAGTGAATAAAAAAACAAAAGGAGTTTCCGCCCTTGAAAGCCTTGTGGGTTCGCTGTAGTGCTCCAAAAATTATTGAAATTTCCAACTGTTTTTGGTTGACACTCAATATCTCCTTTTTAGAGCGACGTATATAAAAAAATGGTTATATTCAATATTAAACCGCTTAAAATTATCTGACATTTATATACATAAGATTTTTTTCCAAACTCCACAGGAAGCGAACTATCGAGCTTTCAAAATTTACCCATTTCGATTTCATCACAAGAATGCCCTTTCAGTTTTGGATGGAAGAATATTTTAAATCCATTTCGAACCTCGTTCAGAGAGTTTGGAGGTTTTCCTTGAAGATAATGAGCCATTGACTGGACCGATAGATGGTAGTCGGTAGGTGTTCTGATAAGTGTGTTACATGGTGAGCTAGACCCCACTACCGTACACCCTTCTCCCACATCCAAAAAAAATTCATAAAGGCTTATTCATTGTAAATATTTATTTAAAAAAAAAAACAGTTTTTTCATAAAAAAAAATGGCCGCACTCTCCGAAGATGGTGTCCAAACAAGGCGGGTTGAAGTATTTGACTTGAATTAGTTTTTCGGTCACTGAGATTTAGCATTTAGCTTAATTTCGTCATGAATAACCTTTTATGAAAGCTGAACAGTTAGGGAATAATAAAAAATAAAAAAATATTAAAATATAATAGGCTTTGGCAATAAAAGCCACCTGTAAAGTTGATTTTTTTCTAGTCGTTAAAACTAAAGTCGAAAATCAAGCGTCGTTTGTAACTAAACGGCCAACAATAACGAAGAGCTTTTTGAAATAAAACGTCTGCAGAATACATTTTTTTTTCCAAAACACTGATTATTTTTTAAAATATTTGAAGTGGTTGCGTATAAAATACACTTAATCGGTGGAAAAAAAGCGGCACTGGCTTAGACGCTAAGCTTCCTCTATATACACCATTGACACATAGTACTCATGGCATAGTTAAAATGTTATGATAACGTTTTTAGTACATTTTTTTTATTGTATTAACAAACAATATTACTACAATAATTTATTTGTCCAACTGATAATGTATAAGGTATGTAATTTGGATAATATTAATTAATAAAAAGTATTCAATAATAAAGTTTATTTAAAATTAACAAGAAAAACAGTAATTTATGATGACTAATTTCATTAAAATAAGTGGAAAACAGTAAAAATAACATTAAAAGTTTTTGTGTAAAATTTCTAAACGTTAATTTATTTTTTGCAATTCCTAACTTGTTAAGTTTAGAGTAATGTGTTCCATAGAAAAATCTATAGTAAATGTGTGTGCTTTGATATTTAATTTAAAAATTTAAGGTATGCCTCCTTTAAGAACACATAATTATTTTAAAACATAAAATTATGCATGTTTTTGGGATTTTTAAAAACTTAATTTATTTTGAAATCTCGATAGTTCGCTTCCTTTTGGTTTTAAATAAAAATGTTATGTACAAAACTGTTGAAGAATTGTTCGCTGTTTAAGATTTAATATAACTATTTTTTATCCATGTTGCTTTAAAAAGGAGATATTTAGCGTAAACCAAACAATTTTCACTACTTCAATAGTTTTTGGAACACATAAATTAATTTTCTCAAACCAGTATATGTGAAGACATCATCATAGATTTTATAAAGTCTCAAAATATTTCTTCACTCAACTACTGCATTCTTTGTGAAACAAGTTCCTAATGGTGAACAAGCATATCTGCAAAAGTAGATTAGTAATAAAATTGGCATTGAATATACAGGCTTATAAAATAAATCAGAGGATTATATTTATGTAATTAAAATATTTCAGCCTCTATTCAGCCTACCATCATTGGTAGGGTTACAAGATCAACAGGCTCATTTGTTGGATCATGTTTGCTTTCAATATATTCTTGTGTGTACACTTATTCATTTCCATCTTTAAATATATTTTGTCAGGTTTAATAATTTTACTAAATAATTAGATACATACATCAAGTAGCTATGCAGTGGATAGCAAATTTTATGCAGAAGATATGTATGTTTAAACATATTTGTTCTGATTAGTTTTACATTCAGTATGTTTTACTTTTCTACAGGAGGATTCTGTAAATAGTCTTGTAAACGGATACTTATAAAGTATAACTAATTATCTAATTGCTACCTTTTCTACAGGAAGTGGTCTTTACACATGGTATGTCGTAATAACATCAGGAATAATTGGTTTAGCTGCAGTGCTGAATGTACAAGGTATGGCCTTTGCCATGCCAATAGCTGGATGTGAATTTCAACTGTCTTACACAATGAGAGGAATGATGTCTTCAATGGGCTTCACTGGTAATGAAATTGAAATTTTATATTAAAGCATAATATTCCTCGCGCGGGCTCATTACCGCGTATGGGGAGCGTCCCACGGGTGGCGGATGTGGGGATGGACGGTAGAAATTCATTGGAAGTTCCTCCCGGCTAAGTCCGATGGACTCGCTGACCCACAATGAGAGGGGCCCTCTAGACTTGCTGGAGGGAGGGGACCTCCAGACTTGCTGGAGGGAGGGGACCTCCAGACTTGCTGGAGGGAGGGGACCTCCAGACTTGCTGGAGGGAGGGGACCTCCAGACTTGCTGGAGGGAGGGGACCTCCAGACTTGCTGGAGGTAGGGGCCCACCAGACTTGCTGGAGAGTGTGACGTAGGATTGAACGCCCTACTCACATATCTTTAGTTCACCAAACACCACAAAAAGTCATGGATCTCCCTAAGGTAAAACGCTCATTATCCGGAGGTAAACTAGTCCCCCGTTCGGGTCTCCGGGTGGGGACTGCTTTAGGGGATTCATGGTGCAAGTTGAAATATAGGGATTTAAATATTGGTACGTGGAACGTAAGGAGTTTAAACACAGCAGGGGGGCTAAAATCGGTCGAGAATGAGGTAAATGGGTACAATTTGGATGTCGTGGCTCTGCAAGAGGTTCGCTGGCCAGGGGAGGGCTCGATGAGGGAAGGGAAGTACACTATTTGGTACGGAGGAAGCGGGAATCATTGTTTAGGTACCGGGTTTCTAATTAGGAGTAGATTACTATCCGCTTTGAGGGACGTACAATTCTTTAGTGATAGAATTTCGGTAGCTACATTTCAGGGACGTTGGTTTAAAATCGCATTAATAAACATACATTGTCCGACCGAAGACAGTGACGATGAAGTCAAAAGTGAATTTTACGATAAACTCGAATGGGTTTATGATAAACTACCGCGAAACTACATGAAAATAATTGTAGGTGATGCGAACGCAAAGGTAGGAAGGGAAGAAGTTTATATTCCGACGATTGGTAAAGAAAGTTTGCACGAATATAGTAATGATAATGGGATCCGTCTGATAAACTTTGCCATCTCGAAAAACCTGATAATTAAAAGTACGACGTTTAAACATAAGGATATTCATAAATATACTTGGACATCACCGGATTCGCAAACACGAAATCAAATCGATCATGTCTTGATACAACACAGCTGGCAAAGCAGTATAATTAATGTACGGTCTTATCGCGGAGCAGAATGTGGGTCGGATCATGAATTAGTAATCGCGAAACTTCGACAAAAACTTAATATAAAAAAGAGAAAAGAAAACCGTTTCGATTTTGAGAATTTTAATTTGGAAAAATTAAAAAATCCATCAATTAGAAACCAATTCGAGCTAGATGTTAAGAATAGGTTTGAAGCTTTAGAGCTTCCTGACGAGGACCACGAGGATATTGACAAGTTATGGATAGAGATCAGGGATAATATTAAAGCGGTCGGTAACTCGTGTCTAGGAAAAAAGGAAAATAAGAATAACAAACCGTGGTTTGATGAAGATTGCTTAAACATGTGTGAAAAAAGAAAAGCCGCTAAATTAAAAGCTCTAAATAATCCTAGCGAAGACAATCTGGAATACTTCCGAATCTCAAAGAACGAAACGACAAAATTGCTCAAAAATAAAAAAAGGGAGTATCTTAAAAATAAAATAATTGAAATAGAAACTAATAGAATCGAAAATAACGTAAGAGACATGTACAAAGGTATAAACAGATCACGTAAATATGTAGAGCCCGTAACGTCTGGAATTAGGGATGATAATAACAATATTCTGACCGATCCGGTTGACATATTGAATAAGTTTAAGGACCACTTTGACAATATTTTAAATACGGGAAATTATGATCTGTGTCCTCCTTCTGAGTACCAGAGTGCTGAACCGTTAATAGAAGGACCAAGTAAAGAGGAAGTTGAAGTAGCTATCGGAACATTAAAATCATATAAAGCAGCGGGAATCGATAATATTCCTACTGAACTAATTAAGGCATGCGGGGAAGCTGGAGTTTCTAAAATACATCGGTTGGTTAAAAAGATCTGGGTGAATGAGAATTTACCAGAAGAATGGAAAGAATCTATTCTTATTCCAATTCACAAAAAGGGTCCGAGTACGGATTGTAATAACTATCGAGGAATTTCACTCCTTCCGGTATGTTATAAAATATTCACTTTAATCTTAACCAGTCGAATCACGGAATACGCCGAGGAAATTATCGGAGACTACCAATGCGGATTTAGACGTAATCGTTCGACTATTGATCAAATATTTTCTTTACGGCAAATATTAGAGAAAAAATTGGAGTATAACGATATTGTTCACCAGCTGTATGTAGATATTAAAAAGGCTTACGATTCTATTGACCGCCAGAAACTGTATAATATTCTAATCGAGCAGGGGATTCCAAAAAAACTAGTAAATCTAGTCAGGATGTGCTTGACGGAGACACTCAATAAAGTTAGAATCGGTAATAATTTGTCCGAAAAAATTGAGGTTCGTTCGGGCTTAAAACAGGGGGATGCTCTTTCGCCTGTCCTGTTCAATTTGGCATTAGAACATGCTATTAGGGAGGTAATGCGAACCGAGAAAGGGTTGGATCTGGGCGGGACAACATCCGTGCTGGGCTATGCTGATGATCTGGTACTGTTAAGCGAAGACGTTGAAACTATAAAACTAAATACGACAACGTTAATGAAAGCCGGTAAAGAACTAGGACTCGAAATAAACGTGGATAAAACAAAATATACGGTTAGCTGCAAAAATGGCGATACTACTGGTGATATCGATATAGATGGTAATATGTTTGAACAGGTAGATAAATTTAGGTATCTAGGTTCTACGATAACTAGAAAAAACGAAATTGAAGAAGAGATTAAGGTTAGACTGAAGGCGGGAAATGCTTGTTATTTTTCTGTGACAAAACTACTTAGTTCGCGCCTTTTGTCCCGAAACTTAAAAATTAGAATCTATAAAACAATTATCTTGCCTAGAGTTCTTTATGGGTGCGAAACTTGGCCGCTTACATTGAGGGATGAGCAGCGTCTTAAGGTTTTTGAAAATAAGGTATTGCGTAGAATATTCGGACCGAAGAAGGATGAGTTAACCGGAGAGTTCAGACGGTTACACAACGCCGAATTGCGTGAGCTGTATCCGGGTAATATAATTGAGGTAATTTCATCGCGGCGAATCAAATGGGCTTGTAAAGTTGTTGGGCTTAGTAACGAGAGAATTCCTAAAAGGTTAATATTTGCTGTGCCGAATGGTAAGCGTCCGAGGGGTAGACCGAAGCGAAGGTGGGAAGATTGCATAAAAGCCGATCTGAAGGGACTGGGTTTGGACGGCGAACGGGGGAGGGAGGTGTGTAACAAGCGATTGGTGGTGTCGGCATCGAACCTTCGGGTTCGCTAAGCCTTATTATTATTATTATTATTTAAAGCATGATATTATCCTAAAGACTTGAGGATAATTGGTAGTTTTATTTTTTAACAGTTAATTATTTATTTATACCATATTTTCCTGTTTCCTCTTCTTTATTGCACCAAAGTTATTATATATATAGGGCTTCTTTAATTACTTTTTTTAATCTTTGAAATCTTAAACCATTTTCTTTTTTTCTACCACTTTTGGGCATCCTATCAACAATTTAGGCTGCTTCCTTCAGAAAACTCTGTCATATTTTACTGAATAAGAGCATTGAAAATTAGTTCAAAAAGTTCTTAGCCACACACATACATAATTGGATGTTACCAGGATTCTCATGCTATCCATCCAACCTTTATCGCCTTTCAATGTGTCAACTGGATATTCTTTCTGTCAATCAGGTACTTATAAAAATCTAGAGCTGCAATATAGCCGTTAAGTTGAGTTAAAGGGTAAAAGTAAAGTTGAGGCTTTAAAGGGCATAAAGATCATAGATATTTTGTCATTCCCATGGATCTTGACAGATCTGTCACTAATCTTGAGAGTTAAATTAAAGATATGCCTCTTTATATTTTCTTAAGATATGTGTCTTTATAACATAGAGACACTAAATTCTTAATGAAGTGTGAATTTTTCTGTTAATTTATCAAGACAATCAATCACTAAATAGATTTAAAAAGCTAATAGAACAACAAAATTGAAGGGTAAATGGATAAAACGACTTTACACCAGCTTTAAAATAGTTTCACACCACAAATGAATCCAAATAATGTTAGTTCTTCAAAATTACAAAATAGTTCATATTCCATAAAAACTTACGTGATGAGGGGTTTTGCCATTGTACTCTCCAATTACCTTTCAAGGTTTCATCAAAAAAATTCTATGCAATTTCATTGTTTAATTCATTTCCAATAACTTTGATTTCATAAAACTAAGTGTATAATGTATTTTAATTTTAATTTTTCAATTTTATATAGGTAAAACTTATTGAATAGGTAATCCCATATGAAAACTCTTATCCATATTGACTTATTGAGAATCCTCATTATTAGGTATGCTGGTGTCAGCTCAGATCTTTGGGTTCTTGGCAGATAATTTTGGAAGAAAGCGTGTTATGATGTGTTGTCAGATAACAACTATGGTGATCACTGTGCTGTGGAGTTTAGCACCAAACACAACAGCTTTGGGCATTATACTATTTTTAAATGGATTCGTGTAAGTATTTCATTAAAAAAATAAAATAAAGAAGAAAAAAATTTGATGAATGATGAAATGGCCCTATATAGTGCTAAAAAAAAATTTTTATAGTTGAAAACAAATATAAAACAAGTATGAATGAATGCAATAAACATAGATTAATCAGTCTTGGAATGGCCCTATAATTCTAGACTTGTTCCCGCACCTTTAGACTCAATATCCTTTTTTTTATAATATATTTACTTAAATCTTTATTTTTTATTGCTTTTATTTGTTACAGTTTGACTGGAACATTTACATCAACCTATGTTTATGTTGGAGAGTTTTGTCCATCTAAAATCAGATCTAAAGCCCTCTTGATTATGACAGCTATGATGGCTATGAGTAATGTTTATCTACCAGGTGAGAAAGATGATTCCTATAAGTTATTTCAAATTCGTCGATGAAGATTTAATTGTTAACAAACTGTAGATTAGCCAGAATTTAATGCACAGCATCTATGGCAGTTCACTAAAAATTATCATTTTATTGAAAACTGGTGCTGAGTGAAGATGAACTATGAAATTGTAATAGTAACAAAAGATCCAAAAGCTTCATATCTCAAAACTCAGATAAAAGCAAATTTCTTATTTTATATATATTTTTTTTTTTATTTAAATGAGATAATAAGTTAGGCAGATTAGAAATTATCAATCTGCTAAGTTTTTTTAGTAAAAAAATCAGTGCACATTACATAGTTGTAGGGCAGCATACAAATTAAGAAAGAAAATCTCTTCGCCACCGCCTCAAAATTCATGGGGATGAGATAAAAGGATTCATTGGGGAAATAAGTGCATGGGCTAATGGGTTTGTGGTATTATGTTGCAGTATCTGAAACCATTTGGATGTCCAAGTCTTACAGTATACCTGTGGACATGTTCCATGTTTTAATGTGAAGATAAAGAATACATTTTTGGATCATTCATTTTTATCTATCACCAGATAGCCCAATTATAAATATCATCTAGACGGTTCTGTATGATCAAAGGCACAATCACAGGGTTTTTTTAAATGTAAGAAGTGCTGTATTGCTAGCAAGTGTTGGAAGTAAAATCTAGTAGTGTCCTGGAAAGTCTATTGTGAAAATATTGAATAGTAATGGTCAAGCTAATAGAACAACAAAAAACACTGCCCTGTGGAGCTTCATTTAATTTTAGCAGTAGATCACTTACGAAACATGGATGAGATCCAACACCTATGTTTTATATTAATTTATCAACCCTACCCTGTCTGATTGGCAATGTCATGAGTTAGGCACACAGTTTTAGGTTTGCCAACATCTTTTTCAGCCTTTCCACTCTCTGGTGGCTTAACCAATGGAGTGCTTCCTCTTCTTTCCTAGGAGAGGTGTGTTGGTCCTGTAATATTCTCCCCACAAATGAAATTTCTGGAATGCACATATTTTTCATTAGGTGAAGTCAATTGTTTTCAGTGAAAACAGTCTCTTTTACTCAACAGTACAGCACTTAATGCCTCATAGTCTCTGGAATTCCACAACTTGAGCATAGGAGATTGTTTTTTTCCCTTTTTTAACAAGCCTTGCTTGGAAACCTCAACACACCCATATGATGTCTGAATAAGTTTATTTATCATGTTTTTTTCAGGCTATGAACTATTTAACATCTCTAAAAATGTTATCTTTAATGGATCATCAAATATTAGAAAAACGTTGACCTTCCTAAAAAACAAGTGACTGCTCAAGGAGGTAGCTCAAAAAAAAAAAAAAAAGAATTGATTTTTAATTATAAATTAGTATTTTAAAACGACTACAAATCACTTTTGTATTTTTCTGTAAAAGATTTTTTTTTCTTTTTTTCAGCTATGGCCTGGATAATTTTACCATTAGACATATACATACCTATCTATGGGGAATTAGTATTTACATCATGGCGACTTTATATCTTATTGAAATTGATTCCACTTTCTATAGCTACGCTACTTTTATCTAAATTACCAGAAACTCCAAAGTTCCTATATGTTGTAGGAAAACATGAAGAGACTTTAGAAATAATCAGATGTATGTATGCAGTTAACCAGAAAAAAAGCAAGAATGACTTCCCTGTAGGTACCATAATATTGGCAATAAAACTTAAAAATAAGTATTTTCTTCAATTTAATTTATAATATAGTATAGTATTATTCACGCTTGTTGTATTTGCTTTAATTTGGCATTGTGGATATAAACATATTTTATAATTACTCTTCATTAATGCAAGTTCAAATTCAAAATAGTTTGATCATGATTTTCAATGAAGTGTAAGAAATTATTTTTAGATTCAAGGGGATGTTTAGCGATAAAAGGTTAAGAAATACTGGTACATTTTATTTAGCATCAAAAAATGTTAAATTTTAATCAAAAATCTTAATTTTTAAATCCTTTACTCAATAATTATAAAAATCGTATTGAATAGAATGATGTAATAAAGTTGTTTTGATTTACAGATATCAAGTCTGTGTTTAAATTCAGATGATGAAATTAGAAGCAAGATTGGAGCTGATGGTAATCAATTTATAAAATATTTTAAGAAAATGATGAGAGATATTGCTGATTTGTTCACAAAACAATACATATTTTTCACTCTGCTGTCCTGTTTTTTGCTCTTCAGTCTAGTTGGATCGTTAGTATACATTTAAATAGATTATTTATAGTGTTACCTATTTAGAGGAATTTAGTTTATTTTTTTATTATTAGTACATTGAAAATTCCCAAGTGCTCTAGGAGTAGGGTTGGCCGGGCGAGGTAACACACAATACAACACCACCAATTGCCCGGCAACCTAATAGGAAAAATGGTTCCCTAACATCTAAAAAATGAAGGAGAATCATTAACATGTTTCTAATTTGGGAGTGATTCAGCCAAATTGCATGTAGTCATAAGACTGTATTATAACTTATGAACCATTTAAATATTTTATGGTGTGAGGGCAAGGTGGCCGAGGGAGCTAACGTCTGTGCATAGCACCACATTGCTCAGCAACCTGATGGAAGATAATTTGATAAAATAATTACAAGTTCGTCTCACAGTGCTGAGGCACTTTTAACACTGGCATTAATCCCTGCTCTCACCCCTTAGTCCATGAAAACCCCATATAGCTTAAAAGTTGAGGAAGGGGAGGACAAAGTAAAAAAAATTCCCAATTGTGCTAACTATTATAGTCCATCAATTAATCCGAAGTAAGTGTTATTCAGCTATTGAATATTTTGATAGATTGAAGTCAGTCAGTCACTCACAAATAATTAACTAAATCAGACAAGATGACAAAAATATTTACCATATTAGCAACTATTTTTATTGAATTAAATGAGACAAATAAAATGAAGAAGCATAATAGTTTTGTACTTTGAAATGGCTCTAGGTGGGTCTTTTATGGAATAAGGAATAATAAATGAAGTTAAATTAAAATAATTGTTGGTCACTATGGGCTTAGAATTTATTTATATAATAAACAATCTCATGCACACATTTAACTTACTTCACTTACTGCTCTACTTTGAACAGCAGTTATTTCCTTGCAAAATCGGGCTATTACAAAAAGTTTAGAAGTGCATTTTTAATGGGGCTAAACCTTAAAGAACACATTTGTGAATTTCAGTCATTTATAAATGCAAAGACTCCTTAATACCATTAAAATAAGAAGTATTATATAACAAACCCTATTTATTATATCAATGGTTGGCAATAAAAATCTTGTGAAAACATTAGTCTGTTTGAACGACATAACTTTAGGCTCTAAGCTCTATATACAAAGGAAGATTTGAAAATACATATATTTAATCTGTATATGTTAGGATTATACTGCATAGTAAAAAAATATAGATATTAAATCAAATAATAGCACTTTTTACATGTATATAAACTCTTATTTGTTTTCCTTGTAAAATTTACCAAAATATAGTTATGAGCTATTCAATACAGTACCATAAAATCAAAAGATGTCATACTAATTGTAAGTGGATAATGCAATTTCATAACCTCGATTCAGTGATTTATATATACTTTTGTGCAAACTTAAAAATAGATTAAATTTTTTTTTTTCACCTTTAAATTGTTAACTCATTTTTTTTTTACATAAGTATATATATCTCATATAAAAATTTGGAAACTAATAATGCTAATTTATTATTAGTTACTTAATAGTAATTAACAAATTTATTCAAACCGATTTATATCCCAAAAAACATAACACATAAAAAAATAAAAATTAATGTTACAAAATAAATATATGTTGATGTAACTAAAGTTTTTAAAATTTTTATATGTTATGTTTTTTGGGATATAAATAAATTAAAAATTTTGTTAATTACTATTAATCAACTAATAATAAATTATAATTTTAAAAGTTTACATTTACTTCAGGAATTTTATTTAGTTTCCATGGAAACATGATTTCCTTTAAATAATATTAATTTTTCTATAATTATTATTTATAAAGGAAGGAGATGGTCCGGGGTCGCAGTCATAAATAGGCTAAATAGTGGTAAAACTATTTTATTTTAGTTTTACCACTATTTAGCCTATTTATGACAGCAACCCCGTACCATCTCCTTCCATTATAATGCAACGGTCAACTATTACATATTCAATTATTATTTGTTGTATTGAAGCCATTTCCATCTTTGAGAATTAAACACATTGGCTCTTGAGAAAAGAATTTATTATTTCTTTAGGATAATAGCAGCAAACGGTTGTTAGTTTCAAGCTTCTTTTCCTTTTTTAGCCAATAGAAAACCTAACATAACCTCCATGTTTGTTGAAAATAATTGCCAACAATAACATTTCTACTTTTTTTCAGACCAGAAACATAGCGAATCATGCACAAATATGTTAACACCAAATGTGAACATGATTCCATATTTTATTTAATTCAACTTGCCTTGGGAAAGTCTGAAGTTATAGATAATGCATTAAGGGTCGACTTATGAATCAAAAAAGGAACTGTTTTATTAATTTTAATTACTTTTAGTTTTTAAATAATCATATAAATCAATAAACATATCTTATTACAATTATAATTATTGTTTTGTTTTTTATACTAGGTGCAACACCTTAATTATGTGGTTCCCAGATCAGACCAGCAGAATAATGAAATACTACGAATCCAATGATATATTTAATGTTACACTTTGTGATCTCATGGAAGGAAGTAAGGCTTCGGAGAATTCTGGCTGTAATATCAATTATGACTTCTTGTCTGCTGGAATCCTTCTTGGAATAGCTCAAGTGGTCACATGCCTCATCGTTGGCCAATGGGCGTTAAAAATAAACCGAAAGATATTAATATGTAAGCCATTTTGTCCCTTCACAAATTAAATTGTTGTTTTTTAAAGTAATCAGTATATAATAAAACATGTATATATCACTCATTCTTAATTTCAGCTGTCAGTTCATTCTTGGCTGCAGGAGTATGCTTTCTAAGCCTCTTTTTGACATCACACTATCTCATTATATTATGTCTTGCTACTATGACTGTTCTTCTATTCACGATGTTTCCTGTAATCACTAGCATTGTACTTGAACTATTTCCTACACAATTAAGGTACTGTTCCAATAAATGTACCATATTTACAATTTATTTACAGTACAACCCCACTCGCCAGATTAACCAGATGTAAAAAGAGAAAGGAAATTAATTTTTAAATTTAAAAATTAGTATTCACTAATTTCATTAATTTCACTGTTATCAGAACTAAATTATTGAAATTGAAACATCACTAACCTATAAAGAGGAAGTTATTTTTAAAGCCAATTTTGAGCTATGGACTTAAAGGGATTGTAACTTGAATTGAAACTCAATATTACAGGAGTAAGATCTGTATATAATTACTTTTTCTTTCTTACTACTAGGTTCGGTCCTTTATCAGACTTATTTATGATGTTTCTCTTCAGCTTGGCAATTTAGTAGTCTTTGTAAATTTAAATTAAATCATGTAATAAAATATATTATATATATATATATATATATATATATATATATATATATATATATATATATATATATATATATATATCATGTAAATCAAATTAAATATATAAATATAATATATTTTATTACATATATATTATTTATTAATACATATATATATATATATATATATATATATATATTATAACATTTTCATAAATTGGTCTGATAAATTTAACTCTAACATAGATTAATATACAAGTTAACTGCAAATTCTTCACTTATTTTGTGAGGGAGGAAAAGTTATATTGGTTCTTAGGTTTTTATAATTGTAGGCACCTCTTCTATTGGTAAATATTTGTTTATGATACTCTGGTCCGGTGTTTCGCGTTTCTGACCCATCTTTGAGAACAATTTACAATTATATTACAATTATTTTTTTTATGTTATTAGGAATAATTCTATCTTTATACACACAATATTTTAATATAAATGGTAGTTGCTATCTGTTATATATAACCAAAAAAAGCTTTCCCAACAAACACCTCATTGTCATAACTGTGCGTGATAAACATTTTGTCACTTGATTAAAATAAATCTCTCCATTATGTAAAAAAGTTTTTAATGACTGTCATATTTATCTTATGCAATTATTTTGGACCATCACGAAGATATCAGCGTGAAAATCTCTAGTTGTTCATAAAAATAATTGAGATGGATGTTGTTTTCACTATCACATTGCCTCAGGGTATCTGAATTTGAACTTTGTACTAATCTCTATTTTAGCTATATCATCCCCTCTCCTCTATATTTATTTGTTTTGGTTACAGACTATTGTCTTTTATAGTTGAGCCAATTCTTGTGAGTCTGCTTTTATATTTTTTTAAATTATTGATAAGTGGTATAATTATGGCATCACATGTTTCTCTCACAAGAAAATACATCTGGCTACATGGAGAAAATTTGGTGCTAATGGTAGAATCTCAACTTCACAAATTGATCATGTGCTCATTAGTACCAGGCTGGTAGGAATGAATTATCATTTAAATGTTTGTTTCTATATTTTTTGATGATATTTTCTTCTTCTTATTCGGCGTTATGAACCACCAGTTGAGTCATAGCCTGTTCAAGCTTAGACCACCAGTCCTCCCTGTTCCTTGCTGCTACCTTCCAGTTCATAACACCAAGCAGAGATCTCGCGTCTGCAGTCACGCAATCTTCCCAGCGAAGCCTGAGGTGTCCTACCCGCCTGGTACTATGGTTTACCAGGTACTAATGAGCACATGATCAATTTGTGAAGTTGAGATTCTACCATTAGCTCCAAATTTTCTCCATGTAGCCAGATGTATTTTCTTGTGAGAGAAACATGTGATGCCAATGCTAAGATCTTTAGAGCCTGCAAAGTTTATGAGTCTCGTCCCATTGTCATTGGCAATATCATTTAGGCTATGGAAACCTATTGTTGGTCAATATGTTGGTTCTTTGTCTATTTGTGCATTATAATCACCTAGCACAATCTTCATGTTGTTACTGGGACTGCTTTCGACACACCTTTCAATCTCTTCATTGAAGGCATCTTTCATGTCCTTTTCTGACACTTCTGTAGGTGCATGGACATATATTAGGCTAATATTATGTAATTTCTCCGTATGTCGGACCATACAGAATCTAGGACTAATCAGTTTAAAATCAATTATATATTGTTTTCAAAAACAAACTGTTTTTGTTTTGTTGTTTTCAAAAAACTGTTATTTTTTTTAGTGGGTTAGAAAAAAAAAATACTGAAACAATTTCTGGAACTAATGTTCACATCAACATTTCCTTATAAAAATCTGTGCTAATAGATATGATACAGGAACCCCTTAGACATTTGACACTTTCTGCAATTAGTTCAAGTGTGCCCCCTGGGACAAGGTTCTGGTCTACACCATAACATATCATTTCTTCTTTCTTGTTTTGTCTCCCCATTTCTCGTCTTTTAGGCTCTACAGGTTATTTCTGGGGCAGGAGATTAATGGCAGAATTAAAAGCCCATCTGGCAACAGGACATGAACTAGTAATTATTTTATCAATTTATATTCCATCAGGTTGCTGAGCAACATAGTGCTGTGCACAAACGTTAGTCCCCTCGGCAATACTGCCCTCACACCACAAAATATCTAAATGGTTCATGAGTTATACACTCTAATGACTACATGCAATGTGGCTGAATCACTCCCAAATTAGGAACATGTTAGTGATTCTCCTTCTTTTCTTAGATGTTAGGAAACCACTTTTCCTATTAATTTCAAATTTCCCTGTGGAAGTTTTACATATTGTTGCATTATTCATAGATTATTTTTCCTCATTTTAAATCATTCATTTTACTACTCTCAGCCAGCTGTCCATTTTAATTGATCCAAGATATTACATCTTAGCAGTCAATTTTTGAGATGAATCTGCCTATTCAGTAGCTGCTATTCTATAATGATGAAGCAGCCATAAAATTTTTTTAAAAAACAACTGATATAATGAATATTATATAGTTCTTTGAATTAGGTTCAAAATATATTTTAAATTATATTATGATTATTTCATTACACATTATGACTGATTCTGAATAATTAAATATGTTAATTAACTCATACAGGTCTAATGCTGCTTCACTAACGATGACATTTGCAAGGTTAGGATCTACAATGGGTGGTCAATTGTTGGGTATTCTATTTGAAAACCATTGCAGAACAGGATATTTTGGAATGATATCTGTAATTACAGGTATTTTATTTTATTTATTTAATTAATAATTAATAATAAATATTTGAAAAATATATTTTTTTTTGTCTACAAAATATGTATTTGCGCCTGTCAACAATAAGTTGACAATCAGCAAATGTGATGGCGATAATGATGTAATGACATGACAGGCATGGGGAAAGAAAGTACTCAGCAGTACCTCTTCCCTAACTTGTTCCAATTACTTAGGTTGTCTAAGGAAGGAGATCCCTCATCCAACGCCTTTTTAGTCTCCTGCTCATGTTCTGAAGTATGTCAGCTGTGGCCATGTCTCTTATAAGTCTGTTATTATGTCCATTTAAATTTGTGTAAAATCGTTGATATAGGGTCGTTATATGCTGGTCAACTGTTGGAAAGTGGAGGTCAGTATGTAGAGTTTTGTTAGTCACGTACCAAGGTGCTTTTGTTATGAGTCGCAATAATTTTGATTGGAACGTTTGAAGTTTTTTTAGGTGGGTCTTTTTAGCGATGCCGTATATTTGTGATGAGTATGTCCATATGGGCTTAAGTAAGTATGTATATGTATTCAGTTTCTGTTTTAGTTTTAGTTTTGAAGATTTGGCAAAAAGAGAGTAAAGTAGTTTGAGTCGTTTGTTAAGTGTCATGCGTTTCATTTTAACATGTGAGCCCCATGTCATCCTTCTGTCGAAGGTGAGTCCAAGGTAATTGTACCGTGTCCGTTTGAGGAATTTGATTGTTGTCAATATAAACTGGAGGACAGGTGTTTTTTCGAAGAGTAAATGTTATATGTTTGGATTTGTCATGATTAAGTCGAATTTTCCATAGTGTGAACCAATCTTGTAGTTTAAGCAAATTATGTTGTAGAGTTAGTGAGGCCTGTGTAGGGTCTTGATGTTTTGTGAGTATTGTTGTATCGTCTGCATATGTAGCTGTCAAGATCTCATCGTCAATAGGTATATCGTAAGTGTATATAACGTAAAGTAGAGGGGCTAGTATTGAACCTTGGGAGACTCTTGGGAGACAGAAGATTGGACGGACTGAAGACACTTCCGAGCCCTGCCGAACTGAAAAAAATCTGTCGAAGAGGAAAGATTGAAGGATAAGATAGTACGTGTATGGAAGTATAGTCTATAGTTTAAAGAGAAGACCCTGGTGCCAGACTCTATCAAACGCCTGAGCAACATCCAAAAATACTCCAGTTGCATATAGTTTTTGTTCTATAGCTCCAGCAATGTAGTCTGTAACTCTGTGCAATTGATGTGTCGTCGAATGGAATGTGCGAAAGCCGAATTGGTGGTCAGGTATTACCTGTTGGTCAGTCAATATGTCAACAAGTCTTTTGTATATTAATTTTCCAAAAACTTTAGAGCATATAGGAAGGAGGCTAATGGGTCTGTAGGATGAAGGACTGTATATGTCTTTACCGGGTTTGTGAATCATCTTAATAAGTGAGTATTTCCATTGTAAAGGGAATTTTGACGTCCTTAGTATACAGTTATAAATTGTTGTCAGAAATACTAGAGCTTTCTTGGGCATTTGTTGGAGTGCTTCGGCTGTTATTAAATCATAACCAGGAGCTTTTCTTTTCGGTAATTGTTTGATTTGAAGTGCAACCTGAGATGGAGTAAAAGAAGGAGGTGGTAGTGTCAGCTGAAGTGGGATGTCTAATGTGTTAAGTACTATAGTCTCATGTTCTGTGTTAGTGAAGTTTGTAAACGGTTTAAATACAGAAGAAAAGTGGTGAGCGAAGAGTTCAGATTTTTCCTCATCCGACACGGCCCAGGATCCATCTTCTTTTCTAAGTGGTGCTGACAGCTCTCGGTGCTTTAACAACTTTTTGGTATGCTTCCACAAGCTCCCATCGTCAGTAGAAAGACCACTGATGTATGCGTCATAGTTAGTTCTGTTAAATTTTTGGATTTCTCTTTTAAGTTGATTGTTTAGTCGGTTAAATGTCTGTCTATCTGAAGGGTGTCTGTCAGTCTGCCATATTTTACGCGCTCTTCTCTTTGCTCTGATTAAGTCCCTTATGTACTGAGGATATTTCGGCAAGTGCTCAGCTGTCGCAGAGTTGAATTTTGGTATTGATGATGTCCAAGCAGCTTGTTGAATATTTTTGGTGAATGTTTCCACAGCCTCCTCCAGTTCTTTTTCACCTTTTATGGACACTGGGATCAAAAGCGAAGAGTTTAAAAACTCTCTATATGCATCCCAGTCAATTGGTCCTTTGATGAGAGCTGGTATTTTTTGCACGTTGACGGCCTCATCGAGTACAATAAGGTGTACCGCTGAATGATCAGAGCAAAGATCAGAGCTCGTACTTATGGAATGAGGTACAGTACGCAGTCCTTTTGTAATAAAGAAGTCTAAAAGGTCCGGGGATTTGAGTCTCGATACAGGCCAGTATGTCGGTGTGTCAGGATTTATAGTGTCTAATGAAAGCTCGTGGATAGCAGCCCTCAAATTTCTTCCTCTTGGTGTGCATAGCCGTGACCCCCAATGTTGGTGCTTTGCGTTGAAGTCACCACCTGCTATGAAACATCGACCTAAGCTTTGGAAGAAGTTGCAAAACATCGAAGATGTCAGCACATATCTTGGAGGACAATAGATGGAAGCTAGTGTCAATGTGTTGTGTTTCATGTATAGTGTGATGCCTGTGGACTGAATGTCAGGTGTAGTTGGTAAGTGTAAATGGTTGTGTGATAAAGAAGATCTTATAAGTATAGCAGTGCCGCCGTGGGCAGTGTTGTCGGGGTGGTCTGTCCTGTGTGTCACATAACCAGAAATACCGAATTTCGATCGTGGTGTAAGGTGAGTTTCCGTTATCAGGGCTACATCTATACGTTTTTCATGAAGATAAAAGTCCAGTTCAGTTTTGTGTTGTGCCAGTCCATTTGCATTCCACAGAAGGATGGACAAAGAGCCTGCAGTCAACTGATTAGCGGCCATTTTGTGGATACATGGCTTGAGTCACCTGTGCAAGCTGTTGGAGGATACTAAAAAGGGGCTGTATGAGGGAGTTTAAACCATTGAGTAATTGGAACAATTGAGGTGGGGCATTATTTTCAGCTGAAGGTGGCTGCTGAGTAGTTTCCCGCCTCATACCTGAACATGATGGTTTGATGTGAGTAGATGTAGTAGCATTATCTCTTTTTGTCATCTGATTTCTTGATGGTTCCTGCAGCTGAGCTGGCGTAGCCTTCTGCGAAGAATTTTTTTGAATCGGCTGCTCTTTTCGCAAGGGCTGCTGAAGAGTCGGAAATTCTTCGAAACTTGGTGGTGGAGGGAGAGGTGGGGATCTAGGAGGATGGTTGGTTCTTGCTGTTCTCCTATGCGCCCTCAGATCCTTCAGGACTTGGCATCCTCAGTAGTTGGCCGGGTGGTCTCCAAGGCAGTTTGCGCAGGTTGCCTTTGTCTCCCTGGTCATTAAGCAGGATACACTTTCGTGGCCTTGGCCACATTTAACACATCGTGGAGAATGGTTGCAATATGATTTTGTATGACCATATTGTTGGCATCTTATACACTGAGGTATAATTCTTTTTTTTTCGAGGCTCCTCTACAACAATTTTTGTATAATAAATTGATTCAATTTCATAAACTTTTTCATTGAAAGTAGCCTTTGTTATGTCTATGAAAAACATGGGCAAAGGTTTTTTGAATCGAGAGTATACATTTGTGATGTTTGTTGCAATGTAACCATGTTTTTTGATTGGAGTGGTGTGGTGCAAATTTTTAATAACAATTCTTCTATTTTTGTCCTCAGGTAGCTGATATGTATGGAATTCAGCACCTCCATTTCTAAGACTACTAACTAGTTTATGGTATACGTCAGGTGTTTTCGGGTAAACTGTTACACCTTTGATAGTTGTTTTCAGAAAAAAAGAATTTGGAGCTGCGTTGTTTTCAAGGAATAGGACTAATGCCTGATAATTTTGAACGTCGTTTATGTGTATTGGTGGTGGTTTTTCGTTTGTTTGATCATTTACTGCGGATTGTTCATTTTCGGTAATGGTATTAAGTACGTCATAAGAATTACTTACAGATATTGGCGTTGCATTTTCTGTTTCAGTTTTTTTGTGTTTTCTCGGATCCCTAGATTCATTAGGAAAATTTCTTTTTTTACCCGTTACCAATGCCCAAGCATCACCACAAGTAGCGTCGATTAAGTCCATTCTTTCGTCCCTTACCACAATATTTGTAGTTGGGTTGGGATCCATTTTTTCGGTGGATATCACCTTCAACTACGTATCTTCACTTTCATACCTTCTTCCTTCAACTTCGAAAAAGAAAATTTTACTTTAATACTTGAAAATTCAAATGAAAATTCAAATAACCTTTTTAGTTAAAATTTTTTGTGTTTATTATAATGTATATATATATTTAATAAAAATATATATTTAAATATATATAACCCAAATAGTCTTTAATAAAATAAATATTTATTTGTTAATTTTCATTCAATGTTTATTTCTTTGTCAAATAGCGGCAGGATTCCTATGTATGTTGATACCAACTGGACAAAAGAAGAACCAAAAAGTGTAAATTCTCACTGAAGTTAGTCCAAGAAGACTTAAAAGTACCTTTTGTATGTTTTTAATAAACTTTTTTTAAATATTTCTAATTTTTTTCATAGTACAACTTTATATTTTATTATTATTAGATTGACTCAAATCTCATCTGAAGTTACTTATTGTAAAAAAACTATATTTTAACTGCTACTATTAGCAATAAGGAAATTATCTAAAGCATTGCTTGTAACAAGAAGCTTAACAAGATTGTTTTTCATTTCTTAAAACATATCATCTAAATTCTTTATCATAATATTACCATGATATTCCCATTTTGGCAAATCCTTAATTTTTTTTTTTTTAATATTCTTTTTACTTCTAATTCTCCATTTCTTAAATGGAAGTCTATACAAAATATGAAGCATAAGTCCAACGAAACTTATCAATAATAAAAACATACTGTGGGCAGACCTATTCATTATTTGAAGGGGAGGAAGAACTCTATCAGCAAATATTTGAACTTATGGGCAATGGAAGAAGAACTACTGGCAAATCTATTTGAAAATGAAATCAAAGTTAGCAGACTCGAAATACCAGAAAAAGTTACAAATGATAGTATTATTGGCTGTAGACAGGAGTTGAATTTTTTTCATCCTGGGTGCAGACTTAAACGCCAAGTATCAAGAATGGAGTTCAAGAACCACAAATTCTCGTGGTAGATCCTAGCTGTCTGCACTCAATTCCCAAAGTTTCAGCCTCCTTCCTCCCAACTCACCTACCTAATGGCCAACTGATTCTAAAATGCAATCCTGATATCCTTGATTTTTTTTTTCACAGTGGTTTAGGTTCCCTCAATCATTCCCTTACCCAACTTGATGAACTTTCATCAGGTCATAGTCCATTAATACTCCAATTATCTCAAGCTCCTATTCCTGAGCCCTCTCCACGGTCCTTCATCAGAGGCCCAGTTAATTGGAAACTCTTTCATCAGATCATTTCTGATAAAATTGACCTCAGAATAACCTTGGAAACTTCAGAAGATTTTGACAATGCCATACATTCCTTCACCACCACCATTCAACAAGCAGTATGGACTGCTTCCTTTCCAAATTATATCTCAAAACCCCTAAGAAAAATAGTTTACCCCAACACCTCATAGACTTAATCCACACCAAATGCTGTGCTAGATTATTATGGCAACATACCAAACATCCCATTGATCGCTGTTCCTACAATTATTATTGTAACCTATTACAACAAGAATTATCATCCTTCTGATCCCAATCCTTTTATTCTTACCTTACTTCTTTCTCTGTTCATGACAATTCCCTCTGGAAAACCACCAAAAAAATCCTAAAATCACATTACATTTCCCACCCTCTCCGTCGATGCGATGGCTCCTAGGCAGCATCTGATGAAGACATAGCTGAGGAATTTGCCAGACACCACTCCAATAAATTCACTCCTCATCCAGAATCCCATCCAGGCCATACCGCAAAAGTAGAAGAATTCCTCTCTTCACCGATTCCACTCTCCTTCACCGATACCACCTAAAGCAGTTAATCCATCTGAGATCAAATACCTTTTACGCATTATCACTCCCCATAAAATCTCATAGATGCGACCTCCTAAAACCACAGATCCTTCGACAACTTCCACCTAAAGCTATTATATTCCTTAAATATATTTATAATTGCATATTAAGAACTACCCATTTTCCTCTCCTATGGAAACATTCCACCATTGTCCTTCTCCTGAAACCAGGCAAACTTACCAACAATACATCATCCTATAGACCAATTAGCCTACTTCCAATCCTATCAAAAATTTATGAAAATATTCTACTGAAAAGAATCCTACCCATAATAGAATCCCATAAAATTCCTACCCATTAATTCAGATTTCATATCCAGCATTCCACTGTCCAATAAGCATTCTGAATTGTTGGCCATATATCCTCAGCCCTAGAAAAGAAGCAATGTTGTCTGGGTGCATTTCTGGACATAACACAGGCTTTTGACCGGGTATGGCATGGTTGACTGCTCTTCAAACTTAAATTCTATCAACCACAGTCCTTATATCTAATACTCCGATCCTACCTCTCCGACCACTCCTTTCAAGGTTTCGGGTGCTGTGGTACTGTATTCTCCGACTGATATTTAATAGAGACGGGAGTTCCACAGGGCAGCTTCTTGGGTCCCTTCCTTTGCATTCTTTTCACCGCAGATATTACTGCCCATCCTGATACCTTCCTGGCAACATTCGCTGATGATAATGCTACCCTTTCGACTAACTCAGATCCTCATGAACTCAACTCAGAACCCAGTGTCATTAAACCTACAAATGCAACTCTCCCTGGTGTAAGAAATGGCACATTAACATAAACGAATCTAAATGTAAACACATTACCTTCACTCTTTGTCGTAAATCCTGCCCACCAGTTTATTTTAACACCATCCAGCTTCCTTTCTCAGATACAGTCCGGTATTTTGGCTTTCTCTTAGACAGACGACTAATGTGGAAACCTCATACTAGGCATAAAAGACAGGAACTTAACCAATGATAGGGCCAACTATACAGACTATTAAACAGAAAATCAAAACTTTCTACTGAAAACAAGTTACTGATCTACAAGACAATACTGAAACCTATTTGGACTTACAGAATAGATCCTTCCAATCAAAAGTCCTTCGAACAATAGTAGATGCTCCTTTCTATATAACCCTACATCATGACATCAACATACCATTTATCCTAGACCTCATTCCAGAAAAATTCTCCAAATTTTACCAGAACCTTACGCATTATCTAAATCCTCTTGTACAATCCCTATCAAGCACCACCCATTCCTATAATCCTTGAAGAAGGCTGAAACGGTAGTGGCCCCGCTATCTTTTCTATATTGTATATATTGGAGTTCTAGCAATGGCCAGATTCTCCACTCAATACATAAGTGCATGTGGCTAAAGTGCTCTCGATCAATCTCCGCTGGCTTTAGTACCAGTGTTGGGTTTGAGAGAGTAGCGCAGGGTTCTCCTGGAGTCCAGGATTTTCCTCCATAGTTGGAGAAACAAGCCTGTCTCGAAGTTCCCTTGCCTGATTGTAAATAGTGTATATAAGTATGCATGTGGTTTTTGCTTTGTTTTAATTTTGTCATTTTTAAGTTATTTTGTTTTATTTATTGTATATACCTTTTGATTATTATTTTGCTTCAATTTATTTTATATTTTTTTGTACATATAGTGTGAATGTTATCCTACCCCAATATAACTAATGTCTATGTGACAGATTGTTGTAATACTCAATAAGTAAATAAATAGAAAATATGAAATTTCACAGTACTTTTTTAAAAAGTTCCATTTTATCTGTTTCTGTGAAATTTTATAGGAAAAGAAGTTTTTAATAAAAAAAATTCAAAGGAACCTTTTTTTAATAAAGCTAAAGGTTTAAAGTAAAAGTTTAACTTTTATTTTTAAGTTTTTAAAAAATTATGTTGAATGAAAAATAAACAGTAATTGATTTTAGATTAGAGATATAATTTATCATGAATGAATTACTAGATTCTAAATTGTCATTTGTTTGAGTCGCTAAGAATAAAAGAATTTTTTTAACCTTTTTGGCGAAATATAGGCAGAACTTCAGGATAAAAGTAAAATGTAAGTTTTATAAAACATAAAAGTTGCAAAGAAAACAGTTCTAGCCCCAAAATAGCAGTAAAAAAAAAAAAAAAAAAAATTTAAAAAAATAAATAAATATATAAATGAAAATAAATATTCCTGTCATAAAAAAAAAAAATAAAAAAAAATAAATAAATAAAAAAAACCGTAACACTACAAACCATAAAGGGTCTTGGGTTCATTACTATGTAAAGCAATACTGTTCATTGGTAAATGATCTGTAAGATGATTTTACCAAGATCACATTCAACCACCAGGTTTTCTTCCATTGATTAATTAAGAATAGCCACTTCCATAGGTGCAGATTTTCCATTTTAATTGGGAAGAGATGGGCGATAGAAAAACAAAACAAAGTGGCGGTAGTTCATTTGTAAAATTCAACATGATTATTGTGAAACAAACAAATGTAATATTGAATATTTAAAAATAAATTTATGTATGCGAACAAATCATTTGGATATATTACAATTTGCATACATTAAACATGGAAGGAAGGGGGAAATCCCAGTCTCCATAAAAAAAATGTACATTGCTAGAACTTATTAAGCTAAGAATTAATAATGTTAAAAACTGAAAAATACTTTTGATTTCTTAGTTTATACAACCTGCAAATAAAACTAAAACGTTTTCACAGTCTGATTAGTTATATAAAAAGTTCACTCCTCCACAAGTTGCACAACAAATCAAACAATTACCTAAAATAAAAACACCAGGTTATGACTTAATATAGACTAGTGTTCCTTATGACAATATACAGCTATATGTGGAGGACAACTAAATTCTCACTACAATGGAAATATTGACATATTAAAATGATACACAAGAGAGGCAAAGACATTTACAATCCGACCCATCAGTCTCCTTCCGGTATGTTCCAAAAATTAATATACAAAAGAATGGTTTGACATATTAGAGGACAAACAAATAATTCCTGTCCATCAATTCGGTTTTCATACAATTCATTCAACTACACACCAATTACACAGTTATTGGTACTGGTACAGGGCACTAGCGGATCCAGGATTTAATTTTGGCGGGGCTTCAGCACGGAAGCTTTTTTTTCACATATATAACAATAATTACTTTAGAAAAACAGAAAGATACTATCTATATGAAGTGGTGTTTAAGTAATTCTTGAAGTCCTATTAAATGTAATTAAACGAGCAATAATACTTTAAAACATAATTTTTTAATATTTTTTACCATAAAACATGGTTACATTTTACCATTTTGGGGGGGGCTTCAGCCCGAAAGCCCCCCCCGTAAATCCGCCTGTGGTACAGGGTGGGGGGAACTAATCCAGTAAGTGCCCAATTACTAAGTGGTCCTTTTTGCTCTAAGTGAATCCTAAGTGGACCTTTTTGCCAACCCCTGACGGCTACCTTTAAGGTTGCCGCCGCGTACTTGCCAGAGTGGGAATGTCACGATCCATTTC